ATCGTTCCATCGCTAAAACGTTGGGAATCGCGAATTCCACGTTATCGCGAGTGATTAAGCGGTTCGAGGAACGGTTGACCACCGATCGGAAGCCCAGAAGTGAAGGAAAAAGTATTCCGTACAACACCAAAAATCACAACCGCGTAGTTGGGGCCTTCAACCGAAATCCGAACGCCTCCGTTAGGGATGTGACTAAGAAGCTGCACCTAAGCCGAAGTTTTGTCCAGAAGGCCAAAACTAAGGCTGGGCTTCGAACGTTCAAGGTACAAAAGGCCCCTAATCGCGACGAGAAGCAGAACAAGTCCGCCAAAACCCGTGCCAGGAAGTTGTACCTCAACATGCTGACGAAAGTTGAATGCTGCATCATGGACGACGAAACATATGTGAAGGCCGACTTCAAACAGATCCCCGGCAACCTGTTTTTCACGGCCAAGGATAAGTTCAGCGTTCCGGAGCATGTCCGCACTCAGAAGATGTCCAAATTTGCGAAGAAATTCCTGGTTTGGCAAGCCATCTGCACGTGCGGGAAGCGGAGTGCACCTTTCGTGACCCAGGACACGATGAACGGACAGGTGTACATAAAAGAGTGCCTCCAGAAGCGGCTGCTTCCTCTCCTGAAGGCCCACAACGTCCCAACAATCTTCTGGCCGGATTTGGCCTCATGCCACTACTCCAAGGACGTGCTGAAGTGGTATGCGGACAATAAGGTCAATTTCGTGCCGAAAATGTTCAACCCTCCCAACACTCCGGAGCTCCGCCCCATCGAGAAGTACTGGGCGATTATGAAGCAGCACCTTCTTAAACGACCTATGGTAGTGAAGACAGTCGAGGAACTGAAGAAAGTATGGGTTTACATGCAAAAAACGGTTGATTCACAGGTTGTGCAGAATCTTATGGCCGGGGTTAAGGCCAAGGTGCGGGCATTTGCGTATGTACTGTAAATAAAATACGAGTAAAATGGTAAAATGAAGTTTAATAGTTATTTCTCAATCCCTGAAAATTTGATGGCAATCGGATGAAAACTCGAATTTTGCGAATCAATTTTGTGTGTGGCAATTTCATCGTGGACACCCTTTAGAACAACTAGTACAGAATATCAGAAAGTTATAGCACACAATGTCAAAAAGGCATGGTGCTCCGCTCCAGAATAACCATGGGCGGCGGGAAAGAGTTAAGATAGCTCGAAGAGGCTATTATGGGGATTTTGATTGTAATTCCAGGGAACTCTAAACCAAATCTAAAGGAATTTCAGGGAGTTTTTAATTATCCAATGAATTCCAAATTACTTCAAAGTTCATAAAACTTTGAGGTCCAATGTTTGTCTTTCTTTGATTTATTTTCCGTACTGAGTACCAATGCTACCGAAGCTTGGGAGGCAGCTCCCACACCTGCACCTTACCTATTGACCCATCACATCATGAACCGGGGACCAACGGCTTTACTTCCCTTCCGAAGGAAGGCGTGATCAGAGATTTTAAACCTCAGAAAATCCCGACGGCGCCGTCTGGTGTTGAACCCAGGCCCTTGTATTGAGAGGCAGTCACGCTTACCATTACACCACCGACGCGCTTCGAAATTCAACGTCAACTAAAAAAATCCAACAATCGACTTCCTGAGACTTTTGAAATTTCGGAAATCGCAGAAAAATGTTGGTGCCGAATGACTTAAAAATGTATGGAACGTCGAAATATCAAATCAATTTTCAAACTTAGAATTTTTAGAAGGTCAATTTTAACAAGCTTACACTAGATCTCGATGTGTCATGCATTTGTTTAGTTATTTGGCATCAAACAATACTTTTCGACTTCCGAAGTTTCACTAAGTGTCAGAACATTGATTGATCAAATACTAGATCTCGAAGTTCCACGAATTTGCAGTTCCTGGAAGGGATGAACGCATCGCAATCCTCGGCCGATCTCTGGCAGCGAATCAACGCCCTTAGTGGGAAACGACGCACGATACCACTTCATGTTCAGGTTAATGGTTCCACGGTTTCTGATCCGGAAACGGTAGCTGATGAACTCGGTAACTACTTCGCCGAGCTAGCAACCATTGACAAGTATGACAACAAGTTCAAGCAGAAAACCAAGCCATCGACCGCATCCATCGCAGACTTCATAGTACCCCCCGACACCGCCAGTACCGGTATAAACCAAGCATTGTCTTGGCAGGAATTGCAACATGCCCTTTGCTGCAGCAACGGGAAGGAGGTGGGACCCGACGAAATCGAATATCCTCTACTCAAGAGGCTACCGGTACCAGGACAGCTACGGATGCTAGACCTCTTCAACAAGCTCTGGCTCACTAACGGGTACCCATACTGCTAAACTTGGTAGTTCCCATCCCGAAAGCCGGAGTAGCCACCCGTGAAGTCAGCAAGTTCCGTCCAATAGCGCTAACATGTTGTATGGTCAAAGTCCTAGTCCATGAAGCAACACCTTGAAGCTGGAAATTTCCTTGATCACCGACAGCACGCTCTACGACAAGGTTTCGGAACGTCCACCTAGGGGAAGTTCTCAAGAACGCCTACGACAGTGGTCTGCACACCGAGATAGTATCGCTCGACATATCGAAGACCTTCAACAGAACGTGGACGCCCCTCGTTCTTAAGCAACTAATCGACTGGGGCCTTAACGGACCCATCGTTCACTTCATCCAGAACTTCTTGTCCAACCGCTCATTCCGAGTCGCAGTCGGCAACACCAAATCCCGGCTTTTTCTCGAGGAAACCGGTGTCCCACAAGGATCGGTTATCGTCGTTACCCTGTTCCTCGTGGCGATGAACGGAGTCTTCCTTCAACTACCGAAAAACATATATGTTTTCGTCTACGCCGACGACATCCTCATCCCCATCCTCAGTAGGCTTTGAATTATCAGCCTCTAAAAGCATCAGGTGCCATGTCTGCCCTTCTCGACACAGAATTAGCGGACCGCCGATCAAAATCGATGACCAGTCCGCTGAAGAAGACCGTCCGAGTTCTGGGAGTTCTCGCTGACCGATTCCTCAACTTTGAACAGCATTTCAGCCGCCAGCCGACTGAATCTCATTCGGACCATTTCCCGCCAGAAAAGATCGAACAACCGCAGCATCCGTTTTCACGTGGCGAGTGCAATTATCGACAGTCGCCTTCTATACGAGTTAGAGATGACTGCATCGCAACGGATAAGGTTTTAGCTACGTTAGCACCAGTCTACAACACCTTCGTCGGGATTGTCTCTGGCCTGCTGCCATCCACACGCCCGCTGACACTGCATTCATCGACGCAGCTATCCTGTCTTTCCGCTTCCGTATAACCGCAGCTATTGCAACCAAAGCCGCTGCTTTCATCTCGAAGATCTCCCCCCAATGACCAGGGTCCACTGGCATGGAGACAAATGCTGGCAAACACCATTACCGAAAATCGAAAGCCGGATTAAGGACAGGTTCAAAGCCGGAGACAATTCCGTGGCCATGAAAAGGAATGTAGCTGAAATGTTGGGAGAAAAATACCCCACGCACACTCACCGATACACGGACGGATCTCGCTCTCGGGCCGGGGTCGGTATCGGTCTAGCCGGAAACATCACACCAACCAGCTGCAGCTCCCACGCCGCAATGTTCTGTCTTCTCTGCTGAAGCTGCTGCCATCTTCATCGCTGCTACAACGCTCTCCAACCGACCGATCCTGGTCCTCACGGATTCGCACAGCGTCATACAAGCCCTGAAATCCGAGGCCCCGACTCATCCCTGGGTACAGGCGACGATGAAGTCCGCGCCACCAAACACGGTATTCTGCTGGGTTCCGGGGCACTGCGGAATACCAGGCAACTCTGAAGCTGACTTTCTGGCTGGGACATGACCATCTACCCCTCGCTATACCAACGAAGTACCGTTACACGATGTCGTGAGCAAAGTACGGGAAGCTTAGGACGCAGAGTGGGCCCAAAACCGCTCCCTCTTCATCAGACGGATCAAAGGGACGACTAGGAAATGGACAGAACAGTTGAACCAACGGGATCAGAAGATAGCGTCGCGTTTCAGGACCTGTCACACCAAGATCTTGCACAATTTCGGTAGAACGCCGTTCCACAGGACTTGCGTCGGTTGTAGAACTCCAGCCTCAATCGAGCACATTCTATGCGTATGCCCTCAGTATCAGAACCTGCGGGAATTTCACGGGCTTTCAAATAGCATACGCGACCTGCTGGGTGATGATCCCTCCACACTGGCAACAGTAATGCGCTTTTTAAAGGATGCTGCATTGTATTTTAAAGTTTAGTCTTTTTTTAATTCCTTTCGGCTATTGAGACATCTCTGCCTGGTGGGAGCCCTCCCGGTTCCCCCGATGTGGAGCTCTGTCTGATTCGGATTTTAATGTTGTGTCTTTAATATGTTGTGTAAATGTACGATCGAGCCAGGAACCGATTATCGGTTGAAGTAAACACTGTAAAAAACTATACTCAGTTGGGGGTCCTCCTTCTGAGGTCCCACCTTTCATGGACGAGATAAACTAGCCTACGGCTAAAAATCTCAAAAAAAAAATAAAAAAAAAACAGTTTAACGAATTTAAGTAATTTGGCATCTAAAATATGTTCTATTTCCAAAATTTTATGTATTAAATACCTTGGGAGATTTTCCAAATGAAAAAAGTTCAAACTTCACCGATTGAGCCCAAATGTTGTACCTATTAGGTAAGGTCTTTTTTCGAGGCAAAGAACATGTTGTACATGGACGGTTTGAAAAATTCGATGGTCCCTTTTTTCCCATACATTTGATTGACACCCTGGTGTTCGTTACTGCAGCCGTACTATCGATCTACAACAGCTTGTGATGCTCGGCATTATTTGAGGGTTAACTCACTCTTCTATACAGTTAAATGACTTCTGAGTAAATCAATCTATTTTCCGTTTTAGGGCGAGGATACTGCCTTAAAGAATGACTTACTTTTATGCACTGCTACTCTCAAGAGTATCGCGCAGAAATCAAAGGAAGAAGCAATAGTAAAAACAAAACATCTTACCCATCGGTTCGTCGCGGCACATACAGGGTCGGCGTGCTCGGCACGATGCGATCGTCTGCACTTTCCTCGTAGTTCTGCTGCATGAGCAGTAGCTGTTGCTGTTGCTGTCTAGCCAATGGATTCACCTGCCGTCGGCTCTGCGAGGGTGATCCGACACTGGAAGCCGCGACTGCCGCCGTGGCTGAAGAACCACCCGTGGAAGACGATGTCGATGATGATGTGGTCGCAGAGGACGTTGATGCAGCAGCCGTAGCAGAACCGGCAGAACCAGCCGTTGACGTAGTGGACGAAGTCGACGGACCCGACGGTTCGCCACTACCACTGCTGATGCTCTGGATTTGCTGTACTTCGTTGGTGTTCGACAGGCTGCTACTTTCCATGGCTTGACCATCTGAGGACGTAGAAGGTCCAGCATTGCTACTCTGCCCAACGCTTGTACTGGAGGTCTCTGCATCCGGAGCAACCTGCGCTCCGGTAGTTGACGAAGACGTACCCGATTGGTTAGGAACTTCATTGTCATCGTCTACATCGACTTCATTGTTAGCCGACTGAATGTTGTCTTCGTCGATATCGGGACCTTCACCTTCGTCATAGTTGCCAGCCATCTCCGGTTCGTCCTGTTCGTACGCTTCCTCCGCCTCGTAGCCCTCGAATGGACCATCATCAGCCTCGGCGGTACCTTCGTCTGCAGTTCCCTCGTCGGCCATGCCTTCTTCTTCTGAATCGACCACGATGATGTCATCCTCCTGATCTCGCTGCGACGATGTCGGAACCTGATACTCCACGTCCAATCCGGACTCAGTGACACCCTGCAATTTCTTTGAATAGTGAATGAAACAACGGACAATTGGAACCGGCGGTAGGACTTACTTGGAACGTTTCACCGCCCTGCATTCGGGTGCGCTTGTTGACCGGGGCGGACTTTTCACCCGGTTGTTCCACGGTGTCGGTCGAACTATCACCTTCAACGTCCCTCGGGCGTTTGTGTCCGGCGGCAGCCTGTGACGTGGTTACGGTGTTGCTCGAAGTGGACGCCTGGTGGTGACTGCTGAGGGCGATCTGTTGAGCCTACGTTAACGGATGGTTATTTATTTTAGAGTGGTGCGCAAGTTGAAATATTACAGCCAACTGATTTGTGTGGATTGCTTTTCCGGGAAATTTACTGAACTCATTTGGACGTCCCTTTAATTTCTTCTGAAAGATCTCGAAACTGTTAACTGCTTTTGAAACCTCTCCGCTCCCCTCTTTTCTGGTAGAGCCCTGATATGTATCAAGCTCTCTGAAATTCCACTTGAACTACCTGAAAACTATTTTAACTTGTCTTAAGATTAACTTTTCTTGGATGTTCTATTCCCCAAAAAGAGTCCTAAACTTATTCTGAAAAATTTGCTAGAAGATTCCTGAACCGCTACTTGCAGGACTCGTTGAGAGAATTTACAGTAATAAGCTACCTTTTCTCTGATGTCTGAATTTAAGCTGAAAAGGCTAGGCACATTTCCTTGAGGTTCGCTAAACTTGCACTGCTGTTAGGGGCTCTTCATAAACAACGTAGACAGTCTCTACTGTAGTCGCTATATTCATAGCCTGGTGGATAGAATTTCGATCTATCAAAAAGCGGAACCAATTCAATATATTGTAGACCAACAATTGATAGTTCTTTCCTCGCTAACCGAACGCAAATTAACAGCATCATCGGATAGGGAAAACTTTCCCCAACCCGATGATGGCGTTGGTTTGCTTAGGAGTGCATTGAGTCACGAGAAAAGGGCGTCCAAAGTTTTGTTCGCAAAACCTGATGTGCTCTTTTCTGTTGTTGGTCGCTCGACTGGTTCCGTTTTTTGACAGCCCAATTGGTTCCCGAGATTCTATCCGCCCGACTCTTACTATAGCAACTATTACAGGCTATACTAAAATCAACATGAAGCTTTAGCGCGATAATTTATTTACTAGAGAAAGTTCTGAAGAGGATAGATTAATAGTTCCGTTAGGGTACGGCTGTGTGAAAAGTGAACAGAAGTTGATCGAAAAGCCATTGATGCGCACTCCTTTGCCTAGCTCACTTGATGGATGAGGGGACTTGAGGTATTTCCTCAAATCCACAGACAAAAGAGTGCGCTTATGGTTCAATTTACTTTGATGCATTTTAGAAAAATTCAAAAGCAGTTTTTTTCGACGCATTATTTCAGATTGCTTAAAGCTCGCGTCATTTTGTGTAGAATAGCAAAAGGAATCGAATAGTGCAAGCATTTTGCAATCTGAACTAATGCGTCGAAAAAAACTGCTCTTGAATTTTTCGAAAAATCATCAAAGTAAATTGAACCTTATGACTTGCTCATACACTGTCTGCGGATGTGGAATAGTTCTAGTGACGCTTATCACAACGCCCCCCATTTTCAGGAGATGGTGTGTTATAATGCAACTATTGTTTGCTTCTCTCATCAAAGGGTCCTCTGGATATTCTCTGGAGGTGTCCAGAGCTTTAACTTAAAATTTCATTATGTTCTTCAGAAGACTTCCCTTGAAGTTGCATAAACTTTTTTTAAACTATTGAACATACTAAATTAGTTCTTCTGTAGTTAACTGCTGTACATGATTTTTAAACATGTTCATAAAACTTCCCGGTTTCGTATCACGGCAAGAGCGTTGAATGGAGAACCAACATGAACTAGGTACTTACATTGGACGAGGTGCCGCTGGTGCTGGGGGCGGGGTTCTGCTGCTCCTGCGGCGGTGGCTGCTGTACCTGCGGCGAGGACTGAGCCGACTGGGCCACGACGCTGCTGCTATTTTGCGGTGCACCTTCGATGTGGGGCGAAACGAGGGCCACCGCCTGGGACGACGGTTGACCGGCGGACACGTGAACCTGAGAGGGACCCGGTTCGTTCGGTTGCTGAGCTGGAATGCTTTCGTTCTCCTGCTGCGAGCTGCTCTCGGCCGTGGAGGAGGAAGTGGACGCTGTACCCATGGGAGGAACGGCAGCCACGGCCACGTTTGCCGAACTGGTTGCCGGCATGTAGTCAGTGTGAGAGCTGGTCGGAGACGAGGACATGGATTCGTTAGAGTTGTTGTTGCTTCCGGTAGTGTGGACCTGCTGCTGAGGTGGGACCAGGGCCGTGACGCTGCTACTGCTGGTGCCAGTGTTGGATGACGACGAAGATGAGGAGGAACCTTGTACGATTGCGACGTTATTCGAGGTTTGGCTTGTGGGAAGGACGGCTGCTGTTCGGCTGCTAGCCTGCACCGACATTGGTCGGATGCTGGCCAAAGGAGTTTCGCCTCCACGACGGGGTGTTACGGTAGCAGATTGCTGGGCACTTGGACCAGGAATTGGCTTCACGTTGGCAGTGCGTGGACTTTCCGTTGATGTCTTCTCCGACGATCCGGTAGCGCTGGTAGACGGCTTGGATACCTGTTGTAGCCCCAGCTGCCGGGTGAGTTGATTCAACCGCATTGTAAGCTGTTCGTTTTCACGCGACAGACGAGCGATAGCATCTGTTTTCTCCTTATCTTGGTCGCTATGTTCCTTGCTAATTCTGGAAATGCGTCCTTCGTATTGCGATTTCAACAGTTCGTTCTCATCGCGAACGTGTTCCAGCGATTGGATCTGTGCCTTCGCGTTGGTAAGCTCTCGAGTGACGGTGTTCTTCGTTTCGGTAAGACTAAGAATTCGATGCTTAACGTCTTTCAGAATCTCCTGATTGCGCTCAGCCTTCTCCAGTTTACCCTTGAGTAGCTCGGTCTCCTGCTTGAGAGTTTCAATCTCTCCCTTGAGTTCCGACACGGTGTTCTCGGTGGCTTTCTCCTGTTGATCGGCGTTAGTGCCTTCTCCACTTGGTTCTCCAGCGGCACCTTCTCCCACAGCCTTAGCACCTTCACCTTCCTTCTCGTCAACCTGTTTCTTAAGCTCGATGTACGAATCCTTGTATCGCTTGGCAATCTTCCGAATCTGCTGTTCCTTGCTCTTGGCATCCGTCAATTGTTCCTCTTTAGTGGCAATCTCATCCGTCATTTTCTTCAGTTCCTCATCGCGCTTCACCAACGTACTCTTCACCTCACCAATCTCGGTAGTCATCTTGGCTCCCGCTTGACGTAGTACATCCAACTCCTCGGCGTACCTTTTGTTCTGCTCGGCCGAACCGCTCAGTTGCTTCATGAGGTTCGAAACCTCCACTTCCATTTTGCTCTTCTCAACCCTGATCGAATTCAGTTCTTCGCTGGACTTCTTCAACAGTTCCTTCTCTTGGGTGAGCATTTTGGCTAGATTCTCCCGTTCGGTCTGCAGACGCTTCCAGTCTTCGGGGCTGGTCTTGTTCGAACGTTCCACCAGCAGATTCGCTCGCTGTCTCCATCTGGTCGCTTCCAAACGCAGTGTCGAATTCTCACTGGTGGCCGATTCGATCTTAACGCTCAATTCACGGACCTTCTCCTGCAACGGGAACAGTTCATCTTCGGCCTTCAGCAAGCGTTCGGACAGCTCCTTAATTCGCTTGTTCAGGCCATCTCGCTCCTCCCGGAGCACCCGATTGCTATCAGTAATTGCATTGTATGTCTCAAGTTTTCTCAGAATGTCCTCGTGCTTGGCAGCAGTTACCACTCCAGTTTCGGACTTCTCCCGCTCGGTGGCCAGCTCGGACTGCGCTTCCTCCAACTTCTTCTGGAACATCATCAACTCCGACTGCACTCGTACGTTCTCCGAGCGAAGGATATCAAACTTGGCCACTGCAATGTCCTTCTCCTTCCGGAGGTACTTGATGATCTGCAACAGCTGATCAACGGAGCGTTTCTCCTCGTCCGAAATCGACTTATTAAGCACCGGCCCATCCTCCATGGTGCTGTCGTTCATGGATTCATCGGCTTGCTTCTGTTCCAGAACATGGGCCGCTGAAATCGAAAGCTTCGTACTGAGACTCTGAATCTGATCGTGTAGCGCTGCATTTTGGGAGTTCAAATCCGATAGTCGTTCCTCCAGCTGATCAACTTCCTTCTTCATCATTTCTTCGCGATTCTTCCAGCACTCTTCGCTGGTGTTGAATCGCTCAATGGCCTGATCACGAGCCAGCTTAAGTTCATCGAATTGCAGTTTCGTTTTCTGGACTTCTTCCTTGAGGCTGGACAACTGCTGTATGTCGCATGAATGCTGCACCATTTCGTTGGCGTACTTCTGTTCGGCAACCTGCAACTGCTCCAGTAAGGAGTTGTTCTTTTCCCGCAGTTCGCGCAAGTCTTTATTGTTGTCACTGATCTTCTCCAGAGCTTCCTTCAACTCAACCTGAGCTTTGTGCAATTCTGATTCGCTATCAGTGGAGGACGTCAGCTGTTCGCCTGTTTTCTTGAGGGAATTTTCCGTCTTAAGCTCTTCTACTTGGGCCTTCAGGTCGGTTTCGCTCTTCTTGAGGGTGGTAAGCTCGGTTTCGGTTTGCGTCTTGTAGGTGGTGTACAGTTCGTTGAGATCCTTGAGTTCCTTCTCGGAGGATTCGGACATATTGCAGTACTGCTTGACGTGTTCCTTGGCAGTGGCCAGCTCTTTGCGTAGCGATTCGACCTCGATGTCGCTTTCTTTCAGCTTCTGCTCTAGTTCGCGGATCTTTTTGTTGGCTTGCGATACCGGGTTGTCCTCGTCGTTGGGCGACAGAGTCTCCTGCAGTTTCTTGCTCAGGTCGTCAATCTTTCTGGATTTGATTTCCAGCTCGTCGCGAGTGTTCTTGAGTTCTGCCTGGACGGTCTCGGCGATGGCCATTTCTTCTTCCATTCGCTGCTTTGCCGTCTGCATCTGCCGTTCAAGATGAGTGGTGAGTTCACGGAATCGATCCTGTTCCTCTTGGAGACGACGTCGCAGAGCTGAACATTCGCGAGATGTTTCGTCCAATCGGGTCTCCAGGCGGATGCGACCTTCTGCTTCCGAACGTTCCATGGTAACCTTGATCATTTCGAGGTTGTTCAACAGAAGGTTCTGATTCTGGCGCTCCCGGTTGAGAATTTCACGTTCAGTTTGCAGTCTAGATTCGGCATCCTTAAGGATGCGACACTCGTGCTTCAGGTTCTCCAATTGGACTTCAGCCCGAGCCAGCTTCGACTGAGCGCTCATCGTTTCGTCTTTGAGGTACATGATTGTGGCTTCCTGCTTGGAGATCGTGGTCTCGTAGTTCTTGTTGCGTTCTTCCAGCGTAGAAATCTGCTTCTTGTAGGTAGCCACATTCTTCTGTTGGATTTTAATCTGCTCGTTATTGTACTCAACGGTGGCCACCAGTTTGATGTTCTTCGAAGATAGCTCCCGAAGTTCCGTTCGCATGGAATCGAACTGTTCGTTCATCATCTTATCGTTGGTAAGCTTCTCCTTCCGATAGTTGTCGTACTCTTCCTTCAGTGTGATCAATAGTTGCTTATTCTCTTTGACCTTCGCCTCCAGTTCGATAATCTTCTTCTCCTTCTCGACAACCGCTTCACTGGAAATGGCGCTAACCGTAGAAGCACTCGGGATCTCCTCATCCATAGCAACGTCCGCATTCTCCCCGGAGAGCGATCCATTCAAACTGGCACCCAATGTTCCCTTACATCCCACGGTATTGTAGCTACGCATGGCATCGTGGTACATCTTCTTGTAGCGATCTCGCTGCTGAATGCATTGCTGCATCATCTGCGTCTGATAATCTTGCGTTTCCTGCATCTCCTGGAGTCGTTTGTTGTATGAAGCAATCTTCGCCTCGAACGTTGCCTGGCTCATTGCATTCTGGGCCACTTCCAGTTCTTCGAGCTTAGCACTGAAGTCTCTCACCACCAGCAGCAGCTTGACGTTGTTTTCCTGAAGCTCTTGAATGTCAGTGAACGTTACCAGCTTCTTCGTAATCACCTCGTTGGCACTCATGTCGGACGAAATCGACTGATCAGCCTCCGAAGCATAACCTCCACGCATTTGTTCGATCTCGCGCAATAGATGGCAAATCTGCCGACTCAAATCTCCACGTTCCATCTTGAACTTTTTGTTCTCGCTATCAAGGTATCGAACCTTGTCCTGCATCGAAACCAACTCCGAACGAGTGTCCGCGTTCTCTTCAATCAACTTGTTTAACTGCAGACTCATCTCCTCGTTAGCGTCCTTCAAATTTTGGTACTCGTTCTGCTGACGAGTCAGTTCCGGAGCACGTTCTTCAAGCTCTTGGACGATATTCTTGATCTGCAGCTGAAGCTTACTGTTTTCCTTCTTTTCAACCTGTATTGGGATGAAGTTTATTAGACTCGTAAAAACAGTTACCAATAAATCATCCAAACTTACCTGCAAATCCTCCGCCGCTTTAACGTACATCGTGTACAACTCGGTCAGCGTCATACCGGACTTGATCAAGCGGCTCGTCGCTGCAGCGGATGGAGCCAACTTCTCAACCGCATGCTCCAAGCTTTCTTCCCGTGCCAGCTTCAACAGGTGATTCGCATTCTTCAGCTCATCCTTCAACTGCTGAATGGTCTGATTATTTGTTTCCAGCTCCTTTTCGTGCTTCATGATCAGTGTCTTCTGTTGCGTTTCTAGCTTTCCGTACGAATCACTTGCCTCGTTCAGCAGTTTCTTCAGCTCTGAAACCGCAGCACCCAGTTCTTCGGTCTGTTTCTTGTTATCCTCACAGTCCTCCTGGTACAACTCGCACAGTTTCGTCTGGGACTGCAGTTCCTTCCGGTAGTGGTCCATCATTTTTCGTGTTTCCTCACTTTGTTGCAACATTTTGTTGGCCAAGTCCTCAGCCCGGGTACTGAGATCTTGATTCTGCTCATTCAAATGTGCAATCTGAGCCGTAGCAATCTTGAGCTCTTCAGTCTTCTCCGTTAGTTTCGTATCCGTCGTCAATGACTTGAAGTTCTGATCCCGACGAACGTTTTGCAAATCCTGCAGCGCCCGGTTCAGGTCCTCCGTGAGTTTCTGGATCTGATTGTCCCGCATTGACAGTTCCTTGTCCATTCGCTTTTCCTTGAAATCAAGCGAGAACTCTTTGCTCTGGATTTCCTCCAACTTAGTCAATGCCTCGCACTTTGTCACATTGGCAACCTTTAGTTTCTGCTCCAGAGCAAGCGCATCAGCCTGCAGCCGTTCAACTTCCAAAGTCTTTCGCTCGACCGCATTCAGCAGCGTGTCCCGCTCGTTCACTGCTTCGTTACGTTCTCGACGGAATCGTGCTGTGTCGGCATCGTTTTGCTTAACCTTTTCCTTACCCTGAGTCATTTCCTGCTTGCAGTCTTCCAGCTCCAATCGGAGCTCTTTCACACTTTGCTGAGAGAAATGGAACTTGGACGACTCATCCTGGTACTTCAACGTAAGCTCCTCAATTTGCTTCTCGTAATCAACTTTTAGTTCTTCTGCAAAAACAAAAAAAAACAAAATCACTAAATACCCAGCAACACGCCAAAACTGTCCGATCAAAACAAAACGCGCCCGGCATTTTTGGCGCTGCAAACAATAACAAACGGCACCGACCTGAGCTCTACCGGTCAAGCGGGGAATCAACCCAATCAACCAAACTGGTCGAAATTCATCTGCCTGACAGCTGATGAACTCGCACCAAACAAAAAATACTACGAAGAAAATTCCTATCCCCGTCTCTTTTCAATAATGGCTGATGGTTTTCTGTGAGCCAGACGGAAAAAATAACCCCAAATCCCGTAATCCCAACCCCAAAAATGCTTACCAACATTGGTTTTTGCCGTTTCGCAGAGAGCTTTTGCGGTCAGAAACTCTTCCAGCTTCTGCTCGTAATGCCCTTCGATCTTCCTGGTCGTCTCGGCCGGAATGGCAGCCACTTCCTCCTCGGACAAAATCGACCGGAGCACTCCCGTTGACTGTTCCTGCACATCATCCTTGGGAACTGGTGTCGAAGCAGTCGGATCTTCTTCTTCAGTCGTTACCACGTTGGCACCGGCGGTAACTTCCGGACTTTCATCTACCTCCATAGCGATTACGACCCGACGGAACCTCTAAACCGTTCGGTGTTTCAATCCAATCCGAGGAAAAAAAATGAGGATGGCGTTCTTTCTTCTTATGTACCTTTCTCTCGTAGTGTGGCAAAATTGTGTGTGTGTGTGCGTGCGAAATCCCAAACGCCGATGATGGCGAAGCAGCAGACACTTTGGTTGGGAGTCCTGCGAAAAACCCACCTCGAATCACTACTTTTCCACGATAAACATTGAAATTCCACTTACTAGATTTTGCACTGCACTTTTCCGACAAGTTTATTAACTTGCAATCACTGGAAACATGCCGATTTTTGGTAAATTTTCACTGAAAAATGGGAGACAACGCGACGACGGCGGAACACGACGCACACGAACTTAACAACAATGTCGGCTTCTGCGAATGATGGCTGCTGAGCACTTTTCGGTGGCAAGAACCCCGACTGTCGAAAAAAGACAGCACGTTCGGATGAATTTTATACCGGTTGGAGCGCTATAAAAAAACAAAGACTATCTGTGTTCCATAGACGAGTGCACGGATGGATTTGAGTTCACTCACTCGACAAAAAGTGACACAACAGCGGGGCCTTGTTTACTAAAAATGAACACATATGTGTTCATTTTTAGTAAACAGGGCCCCGCTGTTGTGTCACTTTTTATCGAGTGAGTGAACTCAAATCCATCCGTGCACTCGTCAATTTGGCGAATTTTCACTTAAACTTGACAGATGGAAAATTTCCAAATAAACTAGAGTCGGTGTATAATGAGTCACGCCAAGAGAAAAACAGTTGAACTCGCATCACGGTTTTCGAAGAATTCCGTTTCTTTTCACTTGGCAACAGAGGACTTCTACATCAACTTCAAATGACTTCTAGCGAGAACAAAAAATAGCGGCTGTAGTGAATTGTTTTAACAGTGATTTTATCAAATTATCTTATCAAAAAATAGTAAAATTTCTCATTACTGATCATTAACAAACGTATCCCATGACAATTGAATGCTCACTGGGTGTTTATGATCATTTCTTCAATTTTATTTTATATTTAATTACAATACCTTTCGTGGACCTTTCATAGAATCGTAATGTTTGTTTACTTTGTTATTTTATTAACATCAACAGGCTGGATGAAGCCCCAATGATTTAAACCTTATCAACTATGGTTAAAAAAAAATACATTCAAGCATGGTCATAACATAAAAAAAAAACATTGAAAAAAACGTATATCTTATAGTCAATATCTTAACTCCTGCCGGCAAAAACAGAAGAAAACTTTCGACGAAGCGCATCACGGGAGAGATGAAAGTCGAAAACAGATGCAACTCTGTTGAATGTTTCTGCAGTCCGCAAATCGCACCGTACGCTCCATAGTTTGTGCGACGTAGAGGCAGTCTTAGCATAAGGTAGCCGGTTTGACAGTTCAATAGGTAGACTTGGCTTCACTCTTGGCGTGACTCATTATACACCGACTCTAAAATAAACCTGCTATTCCTAAAGCCCTACAGTAAAAGTATGGAAGTCTGTCAAAAGTTGTTCCAATCGAACCGTCAAAATGCACCGCTTTGCTCGATTGGAACAGCTTTTTTTCAGTTTTGTGGTGACAGTCGTCCATACTTTTACTGTAGGGCTTTAGCTATTCCAGCAGACTTATATCTGACAGACAAGGAACCAATTTTGACACAAACCTTCTCGAAAATTGGCCGATCAACAACAGAGGGATTTTCGAACATCTTAATTTATTTTCGAAGTGTCAAATTTAAGTGAAAAATATCCAAATGGAACACAGCCTAAGGCTGATGCTCGGGCTGATGCTTTGGCAAAAATGTATAAGTGAAACACATGAATTAAATAATTGATTTTCGTTTCGTGTAGCATTATTTTTATTTTAAATATTAATATCACATGACTTTAAACATGGAATACGTTTGAAATAAACCTTTTTTTTGTGGCCAGAACAAACTGAGTTTACGTTTAAATTTACCTCAAATATTTTTGTTTCAACGATAAATTTTTCAGCGTGAAAGTTAAAATTAAAAACGGAGTCGTTGCCATTGATGTACCCAACGCTTCACCTTCCCGCATAAGCGTGAACCATAAATTGACCTTACCTAAAATGGTTATAAATTGTTTATAATCCCTGCTAAACTTCAACTGAAATGGTTATGGAACTTTACATGAACGTTTAATGATAAAGTTTTAACCTTAAGTATTATAGTTTTTTGGAAGTGGACTTTACAAATAATGGGTTGTTAAGAACCATTACCATTCAAAATTCTTGTTTTCTCCATACATTTTCGGAAAGAAAACTATACTAAAACCTTTTAACTTATGGTTTGAGAACATTAATGGTAATGGTTATGGTAACCAGTAAGGTCCATGAATGGTTTTGTAACATCGATCAACTTTATGTGGAATATATCGCGAATTGGTTGCCTGTAAATTACTGATTACCAATTCACGATATATTTCACGTAAAGTTGAGCGATAATACAAAACCATTAATGGACCTTACTGACTACCATAACCATAACCATTAATGTTCTCAAACCATAAGTAAAAACGTTCTAATATAGTTCTCTTTCCGATAATGTATGGAGAAAACAAGAATTTGGAATGGTAATGGTTCTTAACAACCCATTATTTGTAAGGTCCGCTTCCAAAAAACCATAATACATAAGGTTAAAACTTTATCACACAAACGTTCATGTAAAGTTCCATAACCATTTCAGTTAAAGTTTAGCAGGGATTATAAACAATTTATAACCATTATCGGTAAGGTCATGTGATGGTTCGCGTTTATGCGGGTTGTCCAAAGATCTCCCGTTCAATAGAACATCTTGACTCGCATTCTGTTCCTATCGTGCGGTACGATCTATTTCTTCCTGCGAAACTGTTATGCCAACAGCATCGTTAGTTTTGGCCGCCTTTATCTCTTCCACCCGGCAGATGTTGAAGAAATTCAATCCCTGCATGTAATACTTTTCCAGCCGGAATCTTCGATCTTCTCCTGAAGATGAATCGTTGCACCAAGATCAACACGGAAAGTCGAAAACGGTTAGCACTTGAAATAAAAATCCATTATTCACAGTCATGTCACAATTCCTTCAATCTTACCTATTGCGTGCAGAGTCACTAAATTAAACAATTAAACTAAATTTTACTTATAGCGAATTTGTTTATTATCCAGGTTGGAACCAGTTCCAACCTGCGCGAACCCGAGCTTATTGTCAGTGTGAACCTCAACCCGAGCCAAGTTACAAAAACAAACGTTCACACTAACGTTTGACAGACAACCAGCAGACCCAATCTTGATACCCGATCCAGGTTGGAACTTAATCAAAAACAAATTAGCTATTAAAGAACACCGGAGGGGAGATGATATCGGAATCGGTTACCGTTGCAGGCACTGTATGTTTTTTTGAAGGATTTTGTCTTACACGCTAACTTGAAAGTACCCATTAATGGTTGAAAAAGACCCATTTTGAAGAAAAGTGGCTTAACTCATTAAATGAGTAAATTTTTTACCCATTAATGAGTATCTGTTACCCATTAATGAGTAATTGTTAATCATTAATGGGTAACAGATACTCATTAATGGGTAAAATTGTTTAATCATTAATGAGTTAAGCCACTTTTCTTCAAAATGGGTCTTTTTTTACTCATTAATGAGTACTTTCAAGTTAGCGTGTAGTGGTTAAGACTATATGCCCTATTGGCTTTTTCGACGATGATTGAATTTGCTTTTAAATAGATATTTTGACAGTTTAACAGTTTTGGTTTTAGGAATATGCACTTTTAAAATTACGAGTTGATAGTGAAATCACAGACAAACAGACATAACACTCGCAAGTTGTTCATCGAACAAGCATTTAACGGTCAATTTAAAAGTATCGTAGTTGGTAGTACCAACAATCAATACGAAACTAACGATTTTAAATTGGCTCACCACTTTAGTAGCCTATTGGTCCCAAGCAAACGATTAACGTACCCTATTCTAGTTGAAATTCTATTACTACACTATGTTTGTTTTGATTCGCTATGAAAGTTTGACAGGTAACATCAGGGGTGTGTGGATTCATGCAGAACATGCAGGGGTGAGTGAAATAGTTTGGGACTGCTTGGGACCGTTGTTCTGGTACTGAGTGAGCCAAAAATAATAATGATTTTCTTCGGGACCCAGCGATCTTAGAGTTACCTCTATGGTAGTACTGCCACCTGTGGCGCGCATAGTCATTTACCTTGAGTTTGACTTTTACACACTACCGCCATCTGTTCAGCGCACTACCCACCACAGTGTACTCAATAGATGGCGGTAATGTTTTAGCGACGATGTTTTACAGTGAGAAATATTCAATGTGTTATGTCTGTTTGTCTGTGGTGAAATAATCACTTTCAAGCTAATAAATTAAATTTCATTTTGAAATTATTTGTGGTTAAAATCTCGGTTAAAATAACCAAATTTTGAGAACTTCTAATTTGAAAACACATAATTTTTGTTTTTTGTGTGCAGAAATTTTCTTCGAAATTCAAGCGCGGGTAGGCAATAATAATTTTGATCATTTAAAAAAATCGGTATAAAATTTCAAAATTCGGTATTCTGAGGAATCTTATCTGGTATCTAGTTCGGAAATCGGTATAAATACCGATAAATCGGTAAATACCGATAAATCGGTATATATGGCAACGCTGATCCCTGGGCACATATCATCGGCCGATTCCACTGATGTTCATTTGATTTTTGCGCGCGTTCAGATGAACTTCAGAATGAACACCTTTTGTGTATCATGAGCCGACATGTTTCAAATTAGCATAACATCCTCGATCCTTTCGCGAATTTATGCTAAAAAGTGTTGAAAATTTACCACATTTTTTCTCGTCGCCATCAGTGTTTGTCTTGTCGAGTGCCAGTATCCATCAACCGTGTGTTTTTTACGTGTATTTTTATGAATCTCCCTAACGATGAATCGAGCCCGCCGCAGTGTGACCGTTTACAACAAAAAGGCTACCAAACAGGTTAGTGATAACGACTTTGAGAGTGGTGATGGCTTTTCGGATGAGCCGGACGACGGTGACTTCTCGGTGAGTGAGGACGAATGGCTTCCGGAAAAGGAAAAAGGTGACAGCAGGGATGACGAACTGCAGGGAACTGTTTCGGATGATGACGAAAATGACTCGGGAAGTGCTTCAGAGAACCAGGATGACCTTGAGGAAGATTCGGATGAAAGTGTGGTTGCTTCGAGCAGTAGTAGAGCAAAGAAAAGGTAATTATTGGATGCTGTAAATCTTGTTTATCTGCTCTCAAGCCGAGGTTTTCTAATATTTTAGGACAGTCAAGCCTTCAGTGAATCCAATACCCAAAAAGAAACGTCTTTCTGCGGCGACTAGGGAAGAATTGTACCAACGTACCAAGAAGCACTTGCTAAAGGAGTCGGAACCGGAGCGACCTCCACTTAATTCCAGCGTGACGGATATTCTGAAGCAGTGTCAGTTCAAGAAAAAGACATATATAAACAACAAAAGATCTAAGGCAGTATCACCGAGGGCCGAACGAGCGAAGAAAAAAGTTGATGGCGACTCCGATAGCAGTGGCGACGATCATCTGATGAAACCCGAAGAGTTGGATCTTGCTTCCAATTTTTTCGATAAGATTGAACCGAAGAAGCAGGAGGAAACTGTTCCTCAGTTCGATTGCAATGCGGGCATGAGACTTTCGGACAGTTCGGATAATGATGACGAAACGGAAGAACCGGTTCCGGCGTCGATCCAGAAAGTGGCTGCTCAGCAGTTGATAAGTAAGATAAACGAGTCGTCTTGTGACTTTATGAACTTTAATAGCCTTGGCGAGTTCAACAAGAAAATAGAGGAAGCGAAGAATATGCTCAAGAACTACCAGACCAAGGAAAGTGTTAAGCGGCCTCAGGAAAAGAAAGCCGAAGATGTTTCAAATTTATTGGCTCTGGGTGAGACGGAGGCTGGCATCTCACCTGGGAAGAACAAGGACGCCGCTGGCCAGAACGAAACAGGGAGTGAGGAATCCGACTGGGAAGAGGTAGAGGATGCGAAGAAAAGTAAACCTACTCAGAATCCTCCAGAGGACTATCAAATAACGGTGGAAGTACAGACGGCACAGTCGAAAAAGAAGCGTTGGGAGGAGATTGAGATGGAGCTGTTCATCAAGCGACAGATCAACAAGGTTAAGAGGACCAATCAGCTTGCGTTTCATAAAAGTAGCGTCCTGTGTGCGATAGCCGGTGGTAAGAAATTGAATGAGATCGTAAACTCTCCGGGAATTCAAGCTAGGGCGCTGTCCTTGATGCAGTCCGGTCAGTGTGTGTTGAAGGAAAAGTTGGATGGAAAATTTGTCGATCAGCTGATGAAGTGGTTCAAAAACAAGTTTGAACTAACCAGCCAGCAGGTGTTTGGTCCCAAAACATCGAGATTCAGTTTCACCTTAGCGCTGGAACTGTTTACACAGAAGGTCGCCTGCAAGCGGGATTACGTTCTGTTGTTTTTGGCTTGCTTGCGTGTGGCCGGTGTTGATTGCCGGCTGATAATATCCGCCAATGTCCCTCCGAAGCGACCAGCCATGAAGGACCTGTGTCCTATCTCGGAAAAACAGCTAATTGAGAAGTTCGATAAGGATTTCGGCAAACAATCAACATTCACATTTACGAGGGCTCCTAGTGAAACGGCGGACGGCCAAGACGTCAAGATTGAAGAGAAAATCGATGTGAAAAATTGCCCGATTGTAGAAGAGGCAGTTGAAGAGCAGCTGAATGATGAACAAAATAATTCCGGAGCGGACGTTCCAACTAAGCCTTCCAAGGCGACAACCAAGCAGAAAGCTCACGGTGAATCTGAAAGAAATGGAACACAATCTACACAAAATGTAAAATCATCTAGATTATCTCTTCCTAAGGTTCAAGTTCCAGAAGAGCAGGATAAAGAACTACGCCGTGGTAGATCTCGAAGCAAAAACACCCATCAAAGCTTTCGAGATTCTTCCTCGGAATCTTCGAGAAAGCTACGTTTCTCCCCGGAACCAGAGATCTGTGATGGCAAATCCGCTTCCACCAGCCCACCAGCGAAGGAAAATTCCCGGCCAAGAAAATCCATTCTCAAAAGCTCCTCTCCAAGAATTGCTAGCTCTTCTTCTCGCATGCCCCTAAACAGCCTGATAGTCCCTCAGTTGGATGGAATCAGTGACCTCGTGGCATCGACCCCGCAAAGTCTCCCTATATCCCGACGCCTCCGAAGTCGCACAAAATCCACAGCAGCCGAGTCGAGCTCACCGTTCACCAAACGTGGAACCAACACCCCAACCATGGCGAAGGAAAAGAACAACAACCAACCGGGTCGGATCTCCAAGAGGAAGCTATTCGATATTAACAAGACGACGACCAAGGCCACCGTTCCTAGTCCGCCGACAACTGCCAAGCCAAAATCGGCGAAAAACAAAATTCTCTCGTCGGATTCATCCGATGAGGCTGCGAAATCGGATGAACCACCGTCGCCAGCGTTGAACAAGAAACGGCAACCACGTAGGGCTCGGAATAAATCCAAACTGCCACCACAGTCGTCACATTCATCGGAGGACAGCGACTTTGAACCACCCGGAAAGAAGAAAGCTAAACGTGCTGCAAAGGCAAAGTCCGAATCTCCGCATGAACATTCGAAGGTAGCAGCGACCAAAAGGAAGCCGAAAAGCGCTGCCAGCGAAGCCGACAAGGAGGACGGTGAGCTAACCGCTGCGAACAAGATGGATATGTGGATCGAGTTCTACTCCGAGAAGGATAAACGTTGGATCACGGTGGATTTGTTCAGTGGAAAGGTCAACTGCGTGGATTATCTGATGGTAAGTGTTTATTGTTTATTGTTGTTTATTGTTTATTGTTTATTGAAAAATTCAACTGACAAATTATTGTCTAAATGAATAAAACTTAAACTAAATAGTTACGGTCAACGGTACGGAAAAGACCAGACCAAGTAGCCGATGACGAAACACGTCAGCTGATACATTGAAGTCGAACATATAAAAAAAAGTTGTTGAATTGCCGGCTGATTGCTCGAATTGGCTCGTGTTGTGTATAATTCCGGCTCCGTGGTTCCAAAAACAGAAAGTCGCGTTGACGAAGAGACCTTTCAGGGGCATACATATTTAGCTGTGACAGCAGTGTTCAACAGTCATTGTCACCCGTAAGCAGCTTTCCACCGAACATAGCTTGAGCGACCGTCCGTCTCACCTCTGATGGCTTGATTCCCAGGGGACGCCAGTTGAGGAAACGAAGAGCAAACTTGCGTTGAACGGATTCAATTTTAGTGATCCAGCAAGCATGGAAAGAGCACCAAACAACTGAACTTGACTCCAATAAGGATCGCACAAGCGAGCAGTAAAGTGACCTGAGGCATAGCGGGTCACGAAACTCGTCGGCAATTTTGAAAATAAAGCCCAATTGTCGATTAGCTCTGGAGATGATGTCATTGTAGTGGATTCTGAAAGTGAGTCTGCAGTCCAAGGTAACGCCGAGATCCTTTATGTGCTCTACACGAGCAAGACAGCGTCCGTAGAGAACATAGTCAAACATGATTGGTTCGATTTTTCGGTGATAGGAAATAATGTTACATTTTTCGATGCTTAGACTCATCAAATTTCTTGAGCACCAGTCAACAAAAATACCTAACATATTCTGGAGATCCCAGCAGTCCGAGAGACTTTTAATAATTTTGTAGATTTTCGTATCGTCTGCATAGAAAACGCGGCATCCTGATGGTATCAGCAAGGCGACGTCGTTTAAAAAGATCGAAAATAGTAGCGGTCCTAGGTTACGCCTTGCGGAACTCCCAAGTTGTTTGAGAAAACATCCGATTCCGACGCGCCAATCTTGACATGTACTTAGCGATTCACCAAGTAAGATCTGAACCAATCCACAGCAGTTGACGAGATGCCAAGTATCTCCAGCTTGGCCAGCAAGATATTATGGTCCACCGTGTCAAATACAGCTTTTAGATTCATATAAGCAGCATCGACTAGCCATCCTGAATCCATGCATCGCAGACAGTTAGAAGTGAACTGCACCAGGTTCGTGGACACGGAGCGCTTCGGGTAAAAACCGTTTTGTTCTGTATCGATATAATTTTTGCAGCGTGCGAACAGAGCACCATTTATGATAATCTCGAACAGCTTTGAGCAGGCACACAGGGAGGTGATTCCACGATAATTTATGACATTCCGTTTATCTCCTTTTTTGTACACTGGGAACATAAGAAAGTTTCCAGCGGCAGGGGAACTCACATTGCTGTGCCGAGAGATTTAATAGCCTCACAAGTGGAAGGCAGAGATTGGCTACACAACGTTTTAGAACTGATGACGGAATGCCGTCAGGTATCACCATGTCTTCTGAAATGCGCGGAATAACGAAACTAAACACATCACGTGGCATCCCGTAGCGTCCAGCACTTGTGTTGGCGAAGCGGAGAAATCGTGGAACACTTGCTTGAAATGACGAGCAAACAAGTCGCATTTTTCTCTTTCGCTATTAGCCGAGTCATTCCCGAGAAACCCGGATTCCTTCCGTTTGGAGTTGACAAACGACCAAAAACTTTTCGGATTCGTGCGAAGGTTCTCACGTGTCGATTATAGAGAAAACGATTGTAATTTTGATAACTACGACTCGCAAAATTGAACGGTCGTTTGTAGTACGGCGAGCAAGAGCTACAATACCTTCGGAGGGCGGCAGAGCGTTGACGTTTTAGCACGCGTAGGCGTGGGTTAGACCAACAATCAACACAAAACTAACGATTTTAAATTGGCTCACTACTTGACTAGCCTATTGGTTCCAAGCGCATTGTTCAATGCAACATAATCGGCCCGGCGAAAGTCCAAAGAGTAGCACTCAGATGACGGCGTAAAAAGAATCGGTGCAGGTAAACTAAATGACACGACGAGAGCGGGATGATCGGCATCTAGATCAATCAGTGGCTCGACCGGCAAGGAAACAGAAGTGCCCGGTAGTGCGGAATCATTTGCCAGGACAAGATCTAGCAAACGTCCATTTAGGTTCGGAAAAGTATTCACTTGTGTGAACCCGTAAAAGTTAAAACCGTCCAAAAGAGCACAGCAAGCAACCGGCATATGCGAAAGCAGTGGATCAATTAATGGTGTGCCACTGTCTGTAAAGCGCCACTGCAGACCAGCTTGATTGTAGTCACCAAATACGAAAGCGGGAGAGCAGGGACTTAATTGGGCCGAAATTGAGCCTAACGATTCCACATGCTCACGGATGATCGTGCAGTCGTTTTTGCGGTCGGGAGGCAGGTAGATTGCGCCTACACTAAGCTTGCTTTGTGGAAGTTCTACGACAATCCACAGCTGTTCCAGTTGACTGGAAATGGGTGACGTACTTACGTAGCTGGCTAGTCTAGTAGATACTGCAATTAGGACTCCGCCACCGCGCGATTTTTGACTGTTTAGGGTAGACCGGTCAGTTCTGACAACGGAATAGAGTGACCCGAAAAGTTGCGATGAGTAAATTCGGTCGTCCAGCCACGTTTCCGTCAGCACAATCAAATCATATTCGGCCTCCGCAACAGCCAGGATTTTAGTCCTCAGCCCACGCACGTTTTGGTTGTAGATCCGGAGACCATTCGAGGAGCAATCACGGGAACTAGAAATCGAAAGGACATCAGGTATCGAAAGTTCGAAATCGCTAACATACTCGCCTGAGGTTGCAGGCCGGAAGCCCCCGATATCATCACCGACCACAGGACCGGGACGATGACGATGGCGGATGTGTGCAGCAAGCGCGACTGGGTCGGGAGGTTCGGAAGCTTTCTCAGTGCCTGTTTTAGGGTGTCACGGATCCGAGGAAGAGCAGGTGGCGGCATAAACCTGCTGGCAGTTGGCAGGACAGATGCATGGACATGATGTGGCTAGTGTGGAGGTTGCAGAACCGGAAACACAGCTGGAAGTTGAAGCGGTATCAGGCAAAAAAGAGGCTGAATCGTCAATATACTTGCCAGTAATAGCTGGTGGGAAGACCCCCGACCTACATCTACACTCAGGGCCGAGACGACTATGCAGAGCGCTGGCTGGAATAAGCGCGACTGAGGCAGAGAAATCAGGGGCTTCCACAGTGCTATCCACGATGCGTCTCGGTGGTGATGGTGGTGGTCCAGAAGCAGTAGAGGTAGCAGCATTATTCTTGGAAATCGTGCAAACAAGAATAATGCTGCTACCTCTACTGCTTCTGGACCTGGTGTGAAGTGTTGCGATCTCCAATGGGATTTATTGGGATCCGAATGGTTGCGTTTTGAGTGTTTTGAATTACCTGTTGAGAGTTGACGTGTAGTATGCCTATTTTAACCTTTTATAAGGCCGAAGAAACCAAGCATGAAATCAACTCGTAGTACAATAAAAGATTGAGTTCACATGGTGTAATGAACAAGTGATTGATGGAACAGTTGTGGGCATCTTTAGTCTGTCGGAAGTTCGAGCAATTTTTGTACATCTCTTCTTTTTTGAACTCCCTTTTTAAAACTGCTATATTTTTAAGAACAAAGAGCCACCTGAGCTGAGTTTTTGCTCATTTATTATAATAACATAGATCTTTTATTTGGCTTCTATTTGACTAAAATACGTTAGAGTTGGTTGGAAATGCTAACATGAGGCTTTAGTGTGATGATTTATTAGCTAGAAAATGATCTTTAGAAGAGGGTAGGTGGATAGTTCCGTTAGAGTACGGCAGTATTTAAATTAAAAAGAAGTTGAAAATGAGCGAAGGACCATTAATGCGACAGTTTTTCAAGCCATTTTCAACTTCTATTCAATTTTCATACTGCCGTACTCTAACGGAACTATCCACCTACCCTCTTCTAAAGATCATTCTCTAGCTAATAAATCATCACACTAAAGCTTCATGTTAGCATTTCCAACCAACTCTGAAAATCGTTAACTTCGCGTATGAAGTAACATAAAAACACTTTGAATGTAAAATACGTTAATTGCGAAAATAGTTTATCAGCCGGCGCCGGTGGTGTAGTGGTAAGCGTGACTGCTTTCTAACACCCCAATGGGTCTGGGTTCAATCCCAGCCGAGGTCGGTGGGATTTTTCTGAGGCATAAAAATCTCTGGTCACGTCTTCCTTCGGAAGGGAAGTAAAGCCGTTGGTCCCGGCCCATGTGTGTTGAATGGGTGCGATATCCTACGCAGGTGTGGAAGCTGCCTTCCTGCACATTCGATTGCCGTCAATAGATGGCAATCGATGTCCGTCGGTGATTGGCACTAGATTGCGGAACAGAGACCGACGTTAAATAAAGGAAAAAGAAAATAGTTTATCAACAGATGGTGACCTTAAGGCCGATTTTCTACTTGCACTTAAATCTTACACCAGGTTTACCCATGATCATAAGCATGATTGACCGCCCGTGGTTGCTAATCCGAATTATTAACATCAGCTGTAATTGCACACAGAAAACCAATATATGGTACAGTCCAAAAATACTCAGAGGGAGAGATAGGCGGAGAAAACAAAATACAATTCGGCAGCAGGGATTTGTACCTAAATTATCTTGAAACCCTTACCCAATCTGGCTGAGTTTTTGGTGGGGAACATATTATTTGACGTTTGGGTTGTGTTGTTTGACGTTCAAATTTGATCGTTTACATGTCAAACGACAACTCAAACTTCAAATCTTCAGAAACTCAGACAGATTGTGGCGGCCATACGCGCTTCCACCTTCACTCAAGCGCAGCGCTATTGTTTCTGTCGCTTGGATTCTGGCAAAGTTGCCAGTCTTCTTGATATGATGCCTTCGCTAGAAGCCAGCATTTCACATGACTTTTATTTTTGATTCGATTTACGTGCAAAATAATAATTGATTGCATCGCAATATTTTACACATTTCTTGGTACCATTAATTAGCCAACTAAGATCAATTAATCAATAGAGTTAGAATATTGTTTTTGTTTCCAAAAACTAGTTGTATTTGAGAAACACACGAAACATAAAGGTGATTGATTTCTTGTTCGATTGCAATACTCTCAAATTTAATCTAGTAAGAATAAGAAATCTTCGGACAAATTCTAATGGGAATGTTCGATTGGCTTAGATTTTGGCAGTTCATTTGGCTCAAAACATTCTCTTCGCCCATCTCTCACTCTGAGTATTTCTAGTACAGTCAACTTTCGCTCGTTGGGCTAAACCCATAGCCATAGTGAAAGACTTCCGTTAGTTGGGCTGAGCTGTCAAGATGAAAATTGGTTGAGGGATACACCGATTGTCTGTTATTATCACAATTCTATAGCAACTATCCAAATTGTTCAAACATGAGCCCCTAGAAGATAAACCAGAACTGTCAGAAGTGACGTTTGGCTTTGATTTAGGTGGGCTGCAGCCCAACTAACGGGAGTCCAACTAAAACGTAGCCCACTTAAAGATAGCCCAACGAGCGAAATTCGACTGTACTTGGTACTGGCGTTCATCCTCAATGTGCAAATGTTGGTGATCTTATGTATTTTGTACAACATTGGCGCCGTCCACGTCCGAATGCAGGTCTATCATGTGCCCCATACAAAATGCAATTAGGTTGTACAACCTTTATGGTTTTACCATACCTCGTATGGTTGGATCGTACGGTATATGGCAAAACCATAGCGGCTGTACAACCACAACATTCAAGTGTGTATTTGGCCCATTAGAGAGAGTAGGAAATTGTTGACATGATACACGCTTTATTGGAAGCCGAGCTCTGCCCTTCCACGAGCATCTCAGGACGGGATGAGGGCAGGTAATGTGTAAGGATTTGTCTTGGTAAACGATTCGATAAATCATGTGGATCTGTTTAGAGAGTAATATCGATGCGGCCAACTCAGTCATGGGATAAAACCTACACTCAGTAAGCAAAAACGGTCTCCACTAGGCCAACGAGCCCCTTACACCACAACAAGATTTCAATCGTGTTGAAGAACCTGAATTAAAATTGAAAACTTATCTTTGATGCTTGGAAAGTACCGAAACATCAGCTAGCTATGTCATTCGGATTATGATATGGAACAATAATGTTGACGTGTATTATAGGATTGAGCGGCAACTGAAGTTGACGAAATCTATATCGTGGCCTCGATCTAGGTTCCATATTAGAAATACAATTTTTCTCCGCCTTACCAGTGCCTAATCCTCCTTGTCATGTTTTATAACCAAACTATAAATCCTCGATATAACTAATGTTGTTGATGGCGCAATCTCTTAGCGAGCATTTCACAATTAAAAAAAAAAAACTCCAACCTTGACCTGGCGTCTATTTCTCTCCTCAAGCGTCACGCCACCAGCCCCATCAGCTACGTGTTCGGCTTCGACAACGTCAATCACATCAAGGACATCACGCCGCGGTACGTCCAGCACTGGAACACGGTGAGCCGGAAGCTGCGCGTCGAGCCCAAATGGCTCGATAAGGCATTGAAACCATTCCAGGCGAAGAAATCGGCCCGCGAAAAGCAGGAGGACGAAGAGCTCAACAAAATCGACATCGATAAACCGCTGCCGACAACCATCGCTGAGTGAGTGCAGTGCGGTGGCGACTTTTTCAATATTCCAATGACCTTTTGAACCATCATCTCAACTCTCTGTTTCAGATGCAAAAATCACCCATTGTACGTACTGAAGCGCCATCTGCTCAAGTTCGAAGCCCTCTACCCACCGGATGTGCCCAGCTTGGGCTTCGTCCGGGGTGAGGCCATCTATGCACGTGAATGCTTGTTCGTCCTTCAGACCCGTGAGAAATGGTACAAACAAGGTCGAGTGGTGAAACCGTTCGAGACCGCATACAAAATGGTCAAGTGTTGGAGGTACGATAAACTGAAAAACGAATGGCAAGGTAATCAACCGTGTGAAATTTTCGGAAAATGGCAAACCGAAGAGTATGATCCGCCGACGGCGGAGAACGGTTTGGTTCCACGGAACGAGTACGGCAATGTGGAACTATTCACGCCGAAAATGTTGCCCAAAAAGACGGTTCACTTGCAACGTAGGTGTTGAATTTGCTTACATTGAAGATTGAAATGTTTATATTTTTTTCCGTTACAGTTCCAGGATTGAATCGGGTTTGCAAGCGGCTGGGAATTGACTGCGCCCAGGCCCTCACCGGATTCGATAAGGCTCGCATGCGCATGATTCCGGTTTACGATGGCTTCGTAGTTTGCGAGGAATTCGCCAATCAGGTCGTCGAAGAATGGTACAAAGAGATGGAAGAAGAGGAACGGCGGGAACAGGAAAAGTACGAAAAACGCGTCTACGATAACTGGAAACGCCTCATCAAGGGACTGTTCTTGCGTCGTAAGTTACAAAACAAGTACAATTTCGATAATCTCTAAGATGCTCTGGCAGCAGTATTGTATTTTAATGTTATTTTTTATGTTCACGTTTCGATTTTGATACACTCAAACATTTTACAATATACTGATTTCTTCTGATCACATATCACCAAAATTGTATTTATTTCTTAGCTTGTTCCTAATCAGTAGTCCTCTGATCAGTTTCCTCCAATTATCATAGATTCTCTTCTCCTTCTTCTCGTGTATCCTCATGTCTTGTTCCAACTGATCTCGTTCGTATTCATCTAGCACCAGCTGCTCGAACTCCTGGCAGATAACGATTCCTTCGAATACAGGGTGGTTCCCGCCAGCGTGGATGCCGAACCCAACCACAGCAATTGCGTAGTCCACCTTCAATCTTCGGCATGTTTTGGAAATGTTGGTCTCTGAAAGAAATTCTCACCATTAGCTACGCGCATCATCCATCAAACCTACTCACGTTTCAAATGCACCGTCCCCTCAGGCAGCATGCAATCCTTGAAGAGTTCAATGTTTCCGTAGGCATTCCGTGGTACCCGACCGCCGCTGGCTTTTGGCGGTACGTAGTCCTCCGTTTGCCAGTAACCGAACAGCTCCAGTTCGGTTTTCTCGCGTTTCAGCTTGGACATCACCACCTTGTAGGGCGGTTCGTATAGGCGAATCACTTTGGCATGGCGGAGCCAAACTTCGCGCGAGTGTAGCGTATGAACACATTCCCGGGCGTAGATCGGTTCATCGCGGAAGAACCCCAGCGGCGGAGCGTCCGCCGGGTAGATGGCTTGAAATTTGAGCAGGTCCCGTTTCAGGCAGTAGGAGGGGTGGTTTTTGAAGCTACGGGAGAGAGAAAAATGTGGGTTTGTATAGTGTTCAGAAGAAGGCTTCTGCTAAGATATGGGGCCAAGCATGTACTACTCTTTAAACATCTCCTAAAAAGACATACATGGACGTGAAAAAGGAGATTCCCTCCTCGCTGAATTCCCTCAACCGGAAGAGGGATATATTTTAGTAAGGAAATAAACATAAATGCTTCTTATGCAATACAACTTGGATAGTAGTAGCAACAGTAGTAGCATAGAGGTAAAGGCCCAAGCGCAATGACAGCGGAAGCGGAACGGCCGCGGCAGCGGAAAAGCCCGATCTGAGTAAGCCAACTTGTCGGATTGAAAACTTCGACTTTGGTTAGGCATCTTGATGTCATTTGTGACAACTGTCAAACTTTCCGTTCCCGTTCCGCTTCCGCTCATATTGCGTTTGGGCCTTAACTCTAAGACCAGAAGGTCCCGAAGAAACGTGTTCAACTTTTTGACTCAGCTCTGGTACTATTTTCGGTCCCAAGCGAACTCCTCATTTTATCTGTCAAACTTTCATAGCGAATCAAAACAAACATAGTGTAGTACTAGAATTTCGACTTGAATGTGGTACCAACAATCAATACGAAACTATCGATTTTAAATTGGCTCACTACTTGACTAGCCTATTGGTCCCAAGCAAACGATTAACGTATCCCATTCTAGTCGAAATTCTAGTACTACATGATTTGCTATGAAAGTTTGACAGATAAAATGAGGGGTTAGTGGATTTTCTCATGTTTCGAGGGGTGAATCGATTAGCTTGGGACCGAAGAGAGTAACAGCACAAACGAAGTGACAGACGGAGCGGCTCGAAAACTTTGGTGACTAACCTGCTATTGCAATTTTTCAGTGTACCACATGGCAACACCACTACTACTGGATTGAACCACATGGCAACACTACTACCACAAACGAAGTGACAGACGGAGCGGCTCGAAAACTTTAGTGACTAACCTGCTATTGCAATTTTTCAGTGTACCACATGGCAACACCACTACTACTGGATTGAACCACATGGCAACACTACTACCACAAACGAAGTGACAGACGGAGCGGCTCGAAAACTTTAGTGACTAACCTGCTATTGCAATTTTTCAGTGTACCACATGGCAACACCACTACTACTGGATTGTACCACATGGCAACACTACTACTAGATTGAACTAGCATTTTCACCAAATGTACTAGAATGTTTTGGTTCTATCTCTTTCACTCTACTCAAAACTGAAATGCATAAAAAAATGACAAAATGATACGCACTCTTTGCACACTGTCAAAGAATCATTGTACACAAAATCAACTTTGTGCAAAAACAAAACAAAAATACTATCCCATCTGGTGGATGATGGCACAAGCTTCTAAGAAAATTCTATAACAGCGAACCACATTATTTTAATTGATTTCTTCGCCAGTTAGTCGTCTGTCACTTCGTTTGTGGTACCAGAGCTGAGCCAAAAAGTTGAGCACGTTTCTTCGGGACCTTCTGGTCTTAGAGTTACATCTATGGTAGTTGTGTCTATAAAAAGATGACGCCATCGCCTAACATACCAATATTAAAATACGTACTCTGAAATCTTCTCCGGTATCGGTGCCCGAAAGCGTAGCCGCCTAAAATCCCGCTCGTCCAGCAAGTCCTGCATCACCTTCCGATGACGTCTCCCGTAGCTCTGAGTGAGAACTTTCAACCACTTGTCCGCTACCCGCAAGCGTCTGGAGCCCGTCTCGTTCTGCCACCAATACCGGCCGCTAACGTCCTGCAAGCTGCCGTCGTTGCTCCAACCGAAGACGTACGCCACCGGTTGTGGGAGCTGCTGTTGTACTACATGGTCCAGGCAATCTACCCGACCGGACAGGATGTCCACGGTGACCCACCGGCTTTCCGCCGGCAGGTAGACTTCGATCCAATGGGTGAGGGTTTCAACACTTTGAATGGGGTGCTTATCTTCAGCTGGCTTCTTAGCGAGTTTCTTTTTAGCCCTCGGAAGCTTTTCCGGTTGTTTGAAAAACCGGGACGTAGTCTGAGAGGACTTGGTTTTCAACTTCGAATGCATGGTCATGGGAGTCTTAAGCTTAAGTTTCCACAGGTTGGGCTTCGGGTCCGTTGAGAGGTCTAAGCGAAGTCGTTTCTCTCCGATGCAATCGTCCGCGCCATCTACCTGCGGCAATTGTGAGAAGTTCGCAAACTCTGGTTTCTGTTTCAGAATTTCCGCCGTCGTTAGCGGAACATTGCGATATCGCTCAGTCGGAATTGAACCGGCTTGGGTAGGTTTGTTGGAATTTTGGGATTGAGTGGTCAGTGCGCAAAGCTTCACTTTAGTAAGCATGGGATTTTTAGGAAGCACGTTCAGATGCCTGACTAATCGAGCTTCTATCGAGAGGAACCTCAAGATGGCTAGCAGAAGTAGAATAAGTGATGTTTCACAGCCTTTGAATATTGCTCTCGATGTTTCTAGTATTTTACTAATGCTTCTATATATATCACAAATTGTACTTAGGTATTTGAGTTCAGTTTCTTCAGGCGTTTCTATATCGAAATGTTCCAAGATTTCTATAATTTGCTGGCAATTATCATTGACTATATTGTTGATTAACTTATTCAGATAGAATCCATTTCCAAGCAGACAAAGTAAATGCACTTTATGCAGCTGTAAATGCTTTTCTCGTTTCTCGCTTTGAAGCAGCCGCCTTAGTTGAGCATCGATGTCGATAACCTTACCCGCTTTGGTAGTCTGCTGACTAACGACCACCTCCACCTCCACGTGTTTCCCTTCATCACCACTGAAAACCTCAACATGCTGCCACTCTTCATCGATAGCCGGCTCTTTCATGCTAGGCATGTCAACATCCTCCACGTTGATGAGGTTCTCGGCTTTATTAATAACTCCGGCGATATCCTCCTTAATTTCCCTGAGTGCAATCTTATCGAACTCCTCAGGCTTGAAATCGTAATTTTGTATAATATTCCTAGCTTCACCGTGTCTTCGTTCATAATCGACCAATTGTGTCAGCATCAGGTTGATTTGTTCCTTCTCGTCTGCGTCGCTTTCTGATCCACTATTACTGAATGCCGCTATTTCCGGTTTTGAATCCCGCTCAGCTCGATCATCCTCAGTGACGGTGGCAGTGCATTGAAAATCCTGACTGAAGAACTGCGAGTCTAAATCGATGCCTTCAAAGTGGACCAGATGGTCACCGACACTGCTGGATCCGTCGGAATCCAGTGATTCACAGCTGGCAAATGGATCACCTGGTTCTTCCATATCCGCTAACGCGGTTGCATCACTGTTTGCACTAACATCTCGAACACTACCGGGTTCATTTCGGGATTCGGCACCTGGTGGCAATCTACTAAAAATCTTCGCTCGCAGTGATAGCTTTCTAGGACTGGAATGCATTTCCGGTAGTTATGCGCGCACTATTTACAAAATAAATCAAGATGTTTTGTTTAGGTATCGAATTGGTTTCCCCCTCATTGGAATCTTGTAGAGGGCTAACTTCACTCAGTCGCCTTCAATCAGTCGTGTGTTTACTTTCGTCGCGAAAGGAACATCTCGTGTGTGCTCTCTGCCGGTAAGAAAAAATAACGATGTTCCGCCGGTATCGGTTACCGCAAATTACGCGCGCCGTACTCGAAGTAACCCGGCACTATGCGGGTGCTCATCAGAAAGTTCCCTTGATAAGATTACCCCTTGGTCGTTTGAACGAACTGAAGGAAAAGCTAACCACCAATCCGGTTCCCTCCGCATCAGAATGGAGTGAAATTAGAAAAGGCATTCTGGATGAACGTCGGTTTACCGCGACCAATGTGGACAGTACGGTGCTGGGGTTGTGTAATACGTTGGAAAGCGGTAAATCGTACGCGCAGTTTCTTCGGGGGAGTGGGATCGAGATGAATTTGGCTATGATTGGGAAGCTGCTGCGGCTGTACCGGGTGCAGCACAGCGAAGGTTTTGAATTGAGAGAGGAAGATCGCCGGGATATTCTAAAGTTTCATAATGATTTGAGAGAGAAAAATACAGTGCTGGATGCGAATACCTGTGAACACTTGGTGGCGGCTCTGACGCTCACTGAACATTGGCGACTATCGTTCGAACTGTTGGACATGATTAAGCTAACCGGAATTCCGGATAGTGGCACGTACAGTTCTCTCATTGCAAAGTGCTTCCAAGTCGGCGATATCGAAGCCGGTTGGAAGCTGCTGGAAGAGCAAACCTCGAACAAACGGTTACCGAACGATGAAGTTTTCTTGGCTTGGATCGATCACTGCCTGAGGGATGGCAATAGATTCGTGAGTATTGTGAGTTCCTCACTGTTCATTGGTTAATTTTTCCTTCTTACAGAAAGAAAACCTCATCAAAATGCTGTCGTTCACGGATGCCAAATCGATATTCCTATCGAAACAGATAGGCTCCGCCCTCAGAAAGCTCCCTTCAGAGTTAGGAATTCGTGCTGCTGAAACACGCGTTACCGATGGTGGTAAATGTTCCCACTGCAAGTCCTCTCTGGCCAGCATTGTCGTACCGGAGGAATCGTTCCGTGCTCTGAGGGATACCTTTGTACAAGCTGTGATCATCAAGAAGGAAATCTTCAACAAAACCACACCGAAAGAATTGGAGCGCTTCCAGGTGTTTCTGAAAAAGACCAAACCCTACGACGTGGTAATTGATGGCCTGAATGTGGCCTTTTCGACCGGCAATCAAAAGTCTCCCATCGTCTATGCCATGCAGATTGCGTCCGTTGTGAAGCACTACGTGCGCCAGCGGAAGCGGGTGCTGGTCATCGGTCGACAACATATGGACCGATGGCGTTCCAAGGATATGAAGTACATCAGGGAGAATGCGTTCCTCTTTCTGACGGAGGATTTGTCACAGGACGATCCTTTCCTGTTGTACGCTGCGCTGGAAAGTGGACCCCGTACGGATTTCTTCTCGAGGGATCTGATGCGGAGGCATTCGAGCCTGCTGGGTGATGAGTTGGGCGGTGTGTTCAAGCGGTGGCAACAGGAGCATCAATATTCGCTGCTTTCGATAACGGCCGATGGAAGGGTGATCATCAAATCCCCGTTTAAGCACCAGATGTTTGCCCACTGCTTGCCGGGGGATGCAGACCGGTGGCATGTGCCGTTGGTGGAAGATTGTCTGAAGATACCCAGGGTGGAGAAGCAAGCGAGCTGGTTGTGTTTGAAGTTTGATTAGAGTATTAGAGGACGGTTTAGTAATGGGAGAAGTTATGTGGTGAGGGTTGTGCTTTTGTAGAACTTTAAAGAAAGCCTTGCATTTGTTTTCAGCTGAGTGGTGAGTAAGGGAAATTGTGTTTAGAAATTCAGTGGTGTGAATTTGTCATAAATCGAATAAAAGGTGCAGGAGATAGTAAGCTAAATCAAAGCCCTTGGTGGATTATTTTCAGCAGATGCAGTATCCCAGGTAAGTCTTATTCAACTATATTTAATATCTATGAACTTTTTCATCATATAATGCTTTGAAATTTATTGGAATATTCCAAGACATTTATGAGTTTTTATCAACATTGAAATTGCTTCGAAGCGTTGAAGGAATTATTGAAATAATCCCAGATCTCTAATAGTTATGGAACTTTACGAAAAAGTCCTAATTTTACTGATGGATTTGAAGGTATTTGGGTTCTCTAAATTAGCCTTTTTTACATCACCCATCTATCATGGATAATTTATCGAAGTGTTCTGTAAATTCCGTGGCCATTTGTATCTATGTTCTAAAGCCTTCCAAAAGAGCCGCGCTAAGAAAATACACCATGTACAACACCCTACAACTCAAGGACCATTATGCGAGGATCAATCATGCGTATCAACGAACCAGTCGCCATTGTTATCGGCGTTATCAACGAAATGTTCAACGGAAGCTTCGATCTCACCCAAAAACTTGTTGGAATTATGTGAATGAGCAACGAAAGGAGTCTGGCCTTCCATCGACTGTGGTACTGAACGGCAAAGAAGCTTCATCCCCTCAGGACATTTGCCGTTTGTTCTCAATAAAGTTTGCGAGTGTATTCTCGAATGAGAACCTACCTGACGAGCACGTTTCTCAAGCAGCCAGTAATGTTCCAATGTCTGGTCAATCTTTGGCAGCTATCAACATCGACCTCGCTATGATATCTAGGGCGGCTTCGCAACTGAAGTCTTTATTTAAGCCAGTTCCTTCCGTCTTTCTCAAGCAACACATCGATAGCCTGGTGGCTCCTTTCTGCCTTCTGTTCGAAATGTCCCTCTCCAGTGGGGTGTTTCCAGTGCATAAGAACACGCAGAAAAATGGATTTTTGTTTCAGGGCCTAATGTATTTTGTTATTGATTCAAACATATTGTATCACTATTTCAACGAAACATATTTTTGAATCAACAAAATGGTTTTTAGAACCAACAAACAGATTATTGACTCTACAACCGGTTTGTTGATTCAAAAATATTTTTCTTTGAATTAACCGAATAATATATTTGAATCAATACCAAAAATATATTAGGCCCTGAGCCAAAAATATATCCATTTGAATTTAAAAATCATTTCTCTGTGTGAAGGAATGCAAAAGAAACATCGACAACTATCGCGGCATCACATCGTTGTGTGCCATATCTAAACTGTTCGAGTTGGTCGTTATGGAACCATTAGTCTCTCACTTCAAGCAGCACTTGAGCGAAGACCAGCATGGTTTCATGGCAGGGTGGTCGACTACTTCCAACCTTCTGTGTGTACATTACGGAGAGTATGACTGACCATATGCAAACAGATGTCATCTACACTGACCTATCAGCCGCCTTCGACAAGTTGAACCTGAACTTCAGGACTACTCAATAGACATATAATACAGAAAACATAATTTCTTTTCAGATTTTTAGGTGTAAACATAGACTTCCGCTTTTCTACCACTGTAGCAGTAACCAGATTTAAATAAAATGCTCCATTTTCAAAATAAAAGCATTTTAAGATTGCACTCGTATACTTCCCCGTGGAAAATTTTGAAACCATCATCACTTTCATAGTTCTTCTATTCTCCACGAGTGCCAACTTTGATTTGCCAATAGCGATCGCCAAACTGCATAGGCTCGGTATAAACGGCAGTCTCCTACGATGGTTCGCATCCTATCTATCTGATCGTTTGAAGTTGCAATCGACGACTGCCGATCTCCTTCGTTCCCTGCCACTTCGGGTATTTCGCAAGGTAGCCACCTCGACCCGTTGATATTTCTTGTGTATTTCAACGACGTCAATTTCGTCCTCGACGGTCCACGACTGTCGTTCGCAGACGACATGAAAATCTATCTCCGAATCCGAGTCATCGCTGATTGTCACCTTCTCCAACTCCAACTCAACGCTTTTGCTAATTGGTGCCAACTGAACCGCATGGTTGTAAATCCAACAAAATGTTCAGTAATCACGTTCTCACGAAAGACACATCCAATTACATTCAGTTATATCCTAGAAGGCGTTGACGTACATCGTGTAAATCACATTAAGGATCTGGGAGTCATCTTAGATTGTCAACTCACATACAGCCAGCATATCTCGTACGTGATCGACAAGGTATCCAGAACGCTCGGCCTTATTTTCAGGATAGATTAAAGTTTCACAGACATCTACTGTTTGAAGTCGCTTTACTGCTCCCTCGTCCGCTCGGTGTTAGAATACTGCTGCCCTGAATGGAATCCCAATTACCAAAACAGTGTACAAAGAGTAGAGTCTATTCAACGACGATTCATCCGGTTTGCCCTTCGACGATTGCCTTGGATCGCCTTCCAAGCTACGTTAATTGTCAGTTAATTGGTGAATGTCAGTTAATTCACCTGGATCCTTTGTGGAGTCGAAGAGATACGACAAGGGCCCTGTTTGTGGCAGACATTCTACAGGGTAAAATCGATTGTCCTTCTATTATTGTATTTCCTAGTATTGCTTAATTCATCATTAGAACCAAACCCAGTCTGTTGAGGTAGAACCAAATAAACAAATAAAATTTCCATATTTTCCGTACACCCTTAAACCCTCTAGGCAAACTTGTTTATGGCTATTGTCCGTTAAGATCTTTTAGCTATATTTATACTCGAATAAGTTGCAAAATGTAGAGAATCTTCTAGTTTTACTGGAATGCATCCATTTCAAGCGGTATTTTGTGATTAGTTTATTTTTCAAGAGATGTTGCAGACGTTGAAAGATCTGCGATGGTTAGTTTCGATAAATTCAGGACAGCACCATGAACGTTAGCAGAATTTTGAAGAACTTTAAGAAGTTCCAAGTATTTTAGAGACGCGGGAAAATGTCAGACCTAAAACACTATACCGACTGCTCAACGATGAGTTTAATTGAAGTCTGGTTCTGGTTCTTGGCTTCTTTAGTCCATTTATCTATCCCAGGACCAAAGAATGCATTCCTAACCTCAAAACAAAAGTTTAAAATTCTTAAATGATTTGAGTGGCAACATATTGAAAATTTTCATCATTCCACTTCATGTGAAATTTTGAAAGTTTTTATAATTTTATTAAAATCACGAACAAAGTAGAATACTGTAAGTTGCCAACATCTTTGATCTTTTTTCTAAAATTATTTTATTTTTTTTAATTCATCCTAAATTTAACTTATGATTTTCAGGTTTGTTGTAAGTAACACAAAGTCGTAGGTGGTACAAGCTCCAAACTATTGTTAAGAAGAAGACCCATCTTCATCCGTTAATGTTGGATAGTAGTTTGGGATTAATCACTATCTCTTAAATAAAGAGTTTTAAGTCTGAAATTAAATACAACTTTGGAAGTCGTCTTGGTGGTCAAATATAGTCAGTTTCTGAGTGTTACTCTCGAATTAGATGCCATGGGCATCATTTCGAGCAATCAACCTCTAGCTAGATTTGAACTCTCGAAAAAAATAAATCCAAACGGCTTGCAGTATATTTCAAGAAAACTTGCACTTTTGGAAATGCTCTGAAAATCCTCTGAACATGATCCAAAAATCTCCTGGAACTATGAACTTAACTTAACCAGAAAGTTTCTTAGGAGAGTCTAGCAAAATATTCTTCCTTCTGAACTTGTCTGGGGGTATTCTGGAGATGCTTACAAAACCCAGGGCTGTAAGTCTCCTTAATAAAAAAAAAATGCTCACAAGTCATAGGAACATGTCGTGAAAATACTCTCGATTGAAAATCCTTTAAAAATCCCTTAAGTTAGCATGCTCTCTAGTAGTTCCTTCGGCAGTAGTCGATACCTACTTACCTGCATTGAATTCAGATTAATAGTGTCCTTCAAGGTGAAAACTTGTTAATGTTAACTTAACTACAACCCAGACTACTCTGTGATTTCTTTCGGATAATGATGTGAACACCAAAGCCAAGACATAGTTTTAGCAATTTGCAATTTATTAATATCAACATCGTTTTTACTGTCCACCTCTCAATCGCAGAACCAAATGCAGTGTGCTTTCCTTCTGAATGTTGTAATCCGACAAGGTGCGGCCATCTTCCAGCTGCTTACCGGCGAAGATCAGACGCTGCTGATCTGGAGGGATACCTTCCTTATCCTGGATCTTAGCCTTCACGTTTTCAATCGTATCCGAGGGTTCGACCTCAAGCGTGATGGTCTTTCCAGTCAGAGTCTTGACGAAGATTTGCATACCTCCACGAAGACGAAGAACCAAGTGAAGGGTACTCTCCTTCTGGATATTGTAGTCCGACAAGGTGCGGCCATCTTCCAGCTGCTTTCCGGCGAAGATCAGACGCTGCTGATCTGGAGGGATACCTTCCTTATCCTGGATCTTAGCTTTGACATTCTCAATGGTATCCGAGGGTTCGACCTCAAGGGTGATGGTCTTTCCAGTCAGAGTCTTGACGAAGATCTGCATACCTCCACGAAGACGAAGAACCAAGTGAAGGGTACTCTCCTTCTGGATATTGTAGTCCGACAAGGTGCGACCATCTTCCAGCTGCTTACCGGCGAAGATTAAACGTTGCTGATCTGGGGGAATACCTTCCTTATCCTGGATCTTGGCCTTAACATTTTCAATGGTATCCGAGGGTTCGACCTCAAGGGTGATGGTCTTACCGGTAAGGGTTTTGACGAAGATCTGCATACCACCTCGTAGACGCAAAACCAAGTGAAGGGTACTTTCCTTCTGGATGTTATAGTCCGACAAGGTGCGGCCATCTTCCAGCTGCTTTCCGGCGAAGATCAGACGCTGCTGATCTGGAGGGATACCTTCCTTATCCTGGATCTTAGCCTTCACGTTTTCAATCGTATCCGAGGGTTCGACCTCAAGCGTGATGGTCTTGCCAGTCAGAGTCTTGACGAAGATTTGCATACCTCCACGAAGACGAAGAACCAAGTGAAGGGTACTCTCCTTCTGGATGTTATAATCCGACAGAGTGCGGCCATCTTCCAGCTGCTTACCGGCGAAGATCAGACGCTGCTGATCTGGAGGGATACCTTCCTTATCCTGGATCTTAGCCTTCACGTTTTCAATCGTATCCGAGGGTTCGACCTCAAGCGTGATGGTCTTTCCAGTCAGAGTCTTGACGAAGATCTGCATACCACCTCGCAGACGCAAAACCAAGTGAAGGGTACTTTCCTTCTGGATATTGTAGTCTGACAAGGTGCGGCCATCTTCCAGCTGCTTTCCGGCGAAGATTAAACGTTGTTGATCTGGAGGAATACCTTCCTTATCCTGGATCTTAGCCTTAACATTTTCAATGGTGTCAGAAGGTTCAACCTCAAGGGTGATGGTCTTACCGGTAAGGGTTTTGACGAAGATCTGCATACCACCTCGTAGACGCAAAACCAAGTGAAGGGTACTCTCCTTCTGGATGTTATAGTCCGACAAGGTGCGGCCATCTTCCAGCTGCTTTCCGGCGAAGATCAGACGCTGCTGATCTGGAGGAATACCTTCCTTATCCTGGATCTTGGCCTTAACATTTTCAATGGTGTCAGAAGGTTCAACTTCAAGAGTGATGGTCTTTCCAGTCAGAGTCTTAACGAAGATCTGCATACCTCCACGAAGACGAAGAACCAAGTGAAGGGTACTCTCCTTCTGGATGTTATAATCCGACAGAGTGCGGCCATCTTCAAGCTGCTTACCGGCGAAGATCAGACGCTGCTGATCTGGGGGGATACCTTCCTTATCCTGGATCTTAGCTTTGACATTCTCAATGGTATCCGAGGGTTCGACCTCAAGGGTGATGGTCTTACCGGTAAGGGTTTTGACGAAGATCTGCATACCACCTCGTAGACGCAAAACCAAGTGAAGGGTACTTTCCTTCTGGATGTTATAGTCCGACAAGGTGCGGCCATCTTCCAGCTGCTTTCCGGCGAAGATCAGACGCTGCTGATCTGGAGGGATACCTTCCTTATCCTGGATCTTAGCCTTGACGTTTTCAATAGTATCCGAGGGTTCAACCTCAAGGGTGATGGTCTTTCCAGTCAGAGTTTTAACGAAGATCTGCATGCCTCCACGCAGACGAAGAACCAAGTGAAGGGTACTCTCCTTCTGGATATTGTAGTCCGACAAGGTGCGGCCATCTTCCAGCTGCTTTCCGGCGAAGATCAGACGCTGCTGATCTGGAGGGATACCTTCCTTATCCTGGATCTTAGCCTTGACGTTTTCAATAGTATCCGAGGGTTCAACCTCAAGGGTGATGGTCTTTCCAGTCAGAGTTTTAACGAAGATCTGCATGCCTCCACGCAGACGAAGAACCAAGTGAAGGGTACTCTCCTTCTGGATATTATAATCCGACAAGGTGCGGCCATCTTCAAGCTGCTTACCGGCGAAGATCAGACGCTGCTGATCTGGGGGGATACCTTCCTTATCCTGGATCTTAGCCTTGACATTCTCGATGGTATCCGAGGGCTCGACCTCAAGCGTGATGGTCTTTCCAGTCAAAGTCTTGACGAAGATCTGCATACCACCTCGCAGACGCAAAACCAAGTGAAGGGTACTCTCCTTCTGGATATTGTAGTCCGACAAGGTGCGACCATCTTCCAGCTGCTTACCGGCGAAGATTAAACGTTGCTGATCTGGAGGAATACCTTCCTTATCCTGGATCTTGGCCTTAACATTTTCAATGGTATCCGAGGGTTCGACCTCAAGGGTGATGGTCTTTCCAGTCAGAGTCTTGACGAAGATCTGCATACCACCGCGCAGACGTAGAACCAAATGAAGGGTACTCTCCTTCTGGATATTGTAGTCCGACAAGGTGCGGCCATCTTCCAGCTGCTTTCCAGCGAAGATCAAACGCTGCTGATCTGGGGGGATACCTTCCTTATCCTGGATCTTAGCCTTGACATTCTCGATGGTATCCGAGGGCTCGACCTCAAGGGTGATGGTCTTACCAGTCAGAGTTTTAACGAAGATCTGCATGCCTCCACGCAGACGCAGAACCAGATGGAGGGTACTCTCCTTTTGGATATTATAATCCGACAAGGTGCGGCCATCTTCCAGCTGCTTACCGGCGAAGATCAGACGCTGCTGATCCGGAGGGATACCTTCCTTATCCTGGATCTTTGCCTTGACATTCTCAATGGTATCCGAGGGTTCGACCTCAAGGGTGATGGTCTTACCGGTTAGAGTTTTAACAAAAATCTGCATCGTTGAAATCTCTGTTGAACAAAAATAGAAACAAGGAAGCAGACGTAAGTAACTAGTTCATTGCGAAATACGATCAGACAAAGGTTGATTCATTGCTTCGTGCGCGACACGACGTGTTTTGGTTTCGTTTTTGCGTCTTCGTAACTGCTGTGGAAAACCACTAACGATAATGACGTCACACTGTCGACGCCCCACTTTTCATTGAAAATTGAGTTGATGTTTTTCTTTAAATTACGTAGTTTACTAATTACGCTTCAGCGAACACTTTTACTCAAGGCTTTTAGTTCTGAAGTCTAATAATAATTTTAAAATTAAATCAAGGCCTATTTAATTACGAGCATGATCCATCTTTAATTAAGTTAATATGACAATCAAGAACCGTCTTCCAACTGATTGAATTCTACCAAATCCTATTCACATTAAGAATCAGGCCTTGCGATTATCAATGGACTATAAACTACGCTGCAAATTTTCATCAATAATTTTAAATTTCATGGTCGCCATTTTGCGAAAAATTTTCCCTATTCAAAGCACAAAGCAATCATTGACGCACAGATTTTCAATCGTTCTAACTTGACGTTGCACACCTACCTTATTATGGGAAGATTCCTTCACCGAGATGCACTTTCACAAACTGTTCAACTATTAACAAGTCTTTTAAATGTTCCTCACTGTCACTCGGATGTCTGGTAATTCCAGTAATATCACTTTTCACAATCCACACAAAGAAGTAACTGCCTGGCACTGTTCAATCAACGAAGGCGACGGTTAGTTGTTCACTTCACTATGAAACGTATGCGATTAAGCTGGTTTGGTAGCACGGGGGTCTTTTATAGCCAGCGACTGTCGTTCGAGAATATTGTAGAAACATATATATGTATACCTATGAGTGCTTGGATCGAAAACAGTGGTGTATCATCATCTACCGCAGTATGCTGTGTGCTTTGTGTTTGTGTGAGTGGGTTTTTTTTTCATTCTGATTTTCTACCTTGAACGGTGCAGTTAACTTCTGCGGCGACGTCAATGTACCTATCTCTAGCTAGCCAGCCTATCTCGGTTTAGGATGGGAATATCCTGGATTCAAATGGTTTAGTTGATAATATTTTGGATTTTCAGATCCGCGCCTTAAAAATAGATTACATTCGAGCAACAAAGATGGATGGTGCAATTTCTGTGCAATTTGGGATTTCAATTGATTCACTTTTGTTGCACCGATTGCTGTATTAGTGCAGTGATGCAGTTTTCATTGACGTCAGCCCACTCAATCAATACTGGGGATTTTCTTTCTTGTCTGAACCAGGCAATTAGGATCGGATGCAAGCTAGCAACTATGTTTTGTTATTAAACTTCAAGTAGTTTGTTTTATTGTACATATGCATAAGTATATTAACTATGATCCTAAATTATAAATTACACCATTTTGGTAGTTTCGCTACCAAAACATCCACTTCGGTTATCTAGGCAAGTCTTGTAGGCAGTTCCGTATTCGGTAAAGTTTCAATTTCCCAGCGGCATGTGTGCTCCGGTTTGCCGTCATTGGCCGCCCTTTAACCGAAGGACCAAGTGCACGGTTGATCCCTTGATGATGCTGTATTCCTGCAGGGTACGTCCGTCCTCCAATTGCTTACCGGCGAAGATCAAGCGCAGCTGGTTTGGTGGCATTTCCTCGAGCTTTTCCGAAATCTTAACCCTCAGAGTGTCGACTGTGTCCTCGGGATCGGTATCGATGGCCAGGGTTCTGCCGGTTAACATCTTGACGAAGATCTGCATGTTGCCACCTCGAAGGCGCAGCACCAGATGCAGGGTGGATCCCTTCTGAACATTGTAGTCTGACAGGGCACGGCCGTCTTCCAGCTGCTTGCCAGCGAAGATCAAGCGCTGCTGATCTGGAGGGATACCTTCCTTGTCCTCGATCTTGCCCTTGATGTTCTGAATCGTGTCAACGGCTTCAACATCGAGGGTGATGGTTTTGCCCGTCAGAGTCTTGACGAAGATCTGCATATTGATTCCTGAAATAGAGTCATTGTGTGGGATTCATCAGACGACCATGATTACAAAACTTGGCATACTGAACAATGGTTATGTCACCTAGTCAATTTCCGATGCCAACCAGAACTTGGCACCGTAATCGATAAGGCTATAACGGAGTGCTTTCTTCCTTGTTTGCATCTTTTGTCCTGCTATTATTGATTATTTTGTTTTCAGAAAGAATTCCGTACAAGTGCCAGATGATATTGTTGGTAGTATGAGTAAAGTCAGACAGTGCTGGCAATGGTTGCACCCATACGATACCGATATTTTGATTCGGATCATTCACCAGTATTGGTAGCCCATTCACCATTCACCAACACTGTCTCACCGTTCAAATCTTCCACCCCAGGATGAACTCCTACCTGTTGAGGGAGGTAAACTTTTCACTTGATGAAATTCTAAACTTGAGAACTACTAGCTACCAGGAGCCACTTAGTTCTTCTCACTGTTAATCTGGTAGTAAAACTTCGATTGACAATAGATTCCCCGGTAAGATGCTTTTATAGTACGCACGTTACTCGTAAGCGATACTCGTCGGAGGAAATTCATCCCGCATTCCCCGATCGAATTTGGCTTCGATTCAATTCGTTCAAACTTTTCCTCCTCGTTGCCAATCTCGTCGAATTGGTTAATCGAAACCGCATTTTCCCCCGAATCCCCAACGAAAGGATTCCCGAACTGATTCAGAAATTGCACCTTGGCAGTTCATTTTGGCAGCGCTGTTCCGCGCGGTGAATTTCGTCGCATTCACTCCTAGTAAAAGCGCGATGAACAACCCGGCAGGTCCGAATGTAACGTCATGCAAGTCGGTAGGTAGGTAGGTACGTTACAGTTGGCGCGAAGTTTGAATCTAAATCCGGATGTCTTGTTACATAAAGCACGCCGATGGTTGTAAATATTTGTTTGGCTACTTTCTCAACCGAGAAGACAAACAAGCGACAAAATTGTCTCGTGCTGCCCCGGTCTGGGATAGGTATTGGGTTATTTTGTTGGGTTCAAGATCTACCGAACTCTTGATTTCAGTTGGCTTCGTTTCAGTGTTCGAAAATATACCTCTATGTTTCAATGATAGTTTGAGTTACACAGAATCTTTGTACCGATGTACTGTATCAAATCTGGAAGTTTGTATTGGCTTTAGCTTTTTAGAGGCTTGGACACTTTTTTTTTCAAGCCAGTCTGGTAACTTTTTCTTGTAATCAGTCACTATTTCCAACATTTTTCGCGTGAATTTATGTCAAGATTGGTCATTCTTCTTGCAGTTTGTAGACTCTAATAGTCCAATCAATGCCTACATTTTGATCTAATTTTTGAACAATTCGAAGGAGCTTTTTGACGTTTAATTGTCTTTCTGTATCTACAGGATGTCTACTCATTTGGCTTTTCCAGAACTTTAACGGATAATTTCCAGGTTTATAATAAGAAAATTATGTTTTAAATGCGTTAAAAATATGCCATTTTTTATCAAGCAACAACAACAGCAACTAACGCAAACGTTTTTAAGATTTGACAATTAGTTTAAAAAAAACAGATTTACAATCAAATCCATCCCATCAAATGTTGAAGTTTAACACTTATTTAATTTTAGTAAGTCTAAGATCTCAAAATATGTAAAGTCTTGAAGATTCCTATTCCATGTACAAGTTCAAGATGTTGAAAATTTCCAAAGTGCCAGAGTTAAGGAAAAGCAAATAAATGATTTATTTGAAGTTTAACTTTATGAAGTATTGGAGATCTTCAGTAAAGTCCCATTAACTTCACAAAAATTTCACACAACAGAGCTGAGAATTTCAGTAAAGCATTGCGGTAACAAGTTAACATCATGCAAACATGGGGAACTTACTGGGAGTTTTAAGAACCTCAAAGCGGTTCTTCCGAAAAACTGCAGGAATTTTTAAGAAGTCTTGAGGAAAATTGTGGAAACATTAAGAAGTTCTAAGTACATCAGGAAATCTAAATCTAGAGATCTTTGGGGAATTTCAGATATCTTACGGGCAGTTTCCGCAACTTTTGTCTTGACTTAAGCAGTTTAAAGATCTAGAACCGTGCGTTTAGAAAAAAAAAATCAGGATAGTTTCATGATGGGCTGAAAAAAAAATCGCGGATACTTGAGATGTTCCGAAAATCTCAGGGAATTACATAGACCTTCAGAGATTTTACGAAAGCTTCAGAAATATTTCAGAAACTTCTCAGAGGTCCAGAAAATTTAAGAATTCCATTTATTTCAGAGCAGAACCGAGATCGTCAATAGAGTTGAGAGCTTCAGGGAAGCTCCGAGAACATCAAGACAGATCAGAGCATCAAAGGTCAGCACAAATTTATTTCAGGCAAATTGCAGAAACCTTAAAGAAGTTTCGAAAAACCTCCGCAAAATTCCGAGATAATTTCCGGAATGCAATGGAAAATATCTGGAAAAATGGAGAGTATTTTAAGGGTGTTATATAATGGTAATTTCAAGAACCTAAAAAATATGGAAATAAATATAGCTAAATTGATTAGAGAACATCAACGAAGTTCCAATAATTAAAAACTAATGCGAGAACATTTAGCATACACCGATATCTTCAAGAAATTCAGAACAATCCCATTATCTTAAAAAATGCAGCGACTTTCAAGGAGTTCAGTGGAATTATGGGATATTGCGAAAACTGTAGCGTCAGGGAATTAAGAATATATATCAGAAAATTTGCCGGAACATAAAGTTTAAAGAACTTCAGGTAAGCATATGAAACTTCAGGAATGTCCAGATAAGTTCTAGAAAAAATAGTGATTTAAGGAAAAGTTCCGTCAGCGTTTATAAAATTTATAAAACTGTAGGAAAATTGTAGAAACTTCAAGGCAATTCAATTAATTTCAGTAAAGTTGCGGGTTCTTATTAAAAATTCTGAGAAATTCAGGGCAGTCTAGAGAACTTTAACGTGAAGTTTTTATTTTTCAAAAATCATTGGTGAAAAATCCAAGAAAATCAGTTTTTTCCTTAGTAAAAATGTTCACGCACTCACACTCACAACGCCGAAAAGTCATTCCTGCTTTAAACTCATAAAACTCACTCAAACGTCAATTGATACCATGCTAATGCTTGTTGTGTTAGTTTTCCAACCCCTGATCCACATACAATAGAATAACGCCAAAATATAAAGAAATTAATTTTTGAACTTGAATACTCATTGCACAGTGGTCCAGAATGCAGATTTAGGTGGAATGATATGTTTTGAGCCTGAAATTGAAACTTTAGACTAAAAGTCTCTTCTACAAAGTTGTTCCTTATAGTTATGCCCTCATTTTTATGACAATGAATTCTAGGGTGGTTCCTATTATCATTAAAATCAAAAATCTTACTTATTTGTTTGAATAAATTAGGGTTTACATTCTTCGGCAAAGTTATTGCTTAGCTAATTTCAAGCAATTTTGTAGAAAACAACTTTTTTGTATCTCTTAAATTGGCCGATTAAGAGCTATTTTCTTGAATTGAGTTAGGGTGGCTCTAAAATAAACAGTTGTTTTGCTCTAGTTTTCTTATTTCGAATTTCTCAAAAATTCCTTTCTTTTGGTGTTTGCAAACTTTTTTGTTTTACAAAATAAAAATATGTGTTGTTTGAAAAAGTTGTAGCTTAGTTTATTGCAAGCAACTTTGTCGAAGAATTTTTTTCTATCTCTTAACGTTCTCATTTTAGAGTAATTTTTCGGAGTTGACCTAGGGTGATCCTGGAAAAAATAGTTTTTTAGCGCTAACTTTTTTATTTGAGATTTCTCATGAAAGTCATCTTCTAGAGACTTTTAAATATTAATATTAAATATATTTTAAATATTATTGAGAATAACATACGCCCTTTCAAATGCCGTAGAAAAACTTTTTTTTTTGTTTGCCCCAACCAGAGATATTAACATTTGAAAAGTGCATATTTTTAGTATAAAAACAGCAATAACTCTTGATCGGCGAAAGATATTGACAAGCTTTGTGCGGTAAAAATTTGCGCCTTCTTAAGATCTAAAAGTTATGTCAAGACACCTTTGCTGAGAAATTCGAAATAAGAAAACTAGAGCAAAACAACTGTTTTTTTAGAGCCACCCTAACTCAATTCAAGAAAATAGCTCTAAATCGGCCAATTTAAGAGATACAAAAAAGTTGTTTTCTACAAAGTTGCTTGAAATTAGCTCAGCTATAACTTTGCCGAAGAATGTAAACCCTAATTTATTCAAACAAATAAGTTAGATTTTTGATTTTAATGATAATAGGAACCACCCTAGAATTCATTGTCATAAAAATGAGGACATAACTATAAGGAACAACTTTGTAGAAGGGACTTTTAGTCTAAAGTTTCAATTTCAGGCTCAAAACATATCATTCCACCTAAATCTGCATTCTGGACCACGATTTGGTGATTTTTACGACGTCGAATTTTGCATGCAAAACTCATGAGTTTTTGAGTTTTTCCGAACACAGCTTACCTGAGAAGTCTAGAGCGTTGTAAAAGGACATTTCTATCGATTAAAATGGATAAAGCAGCAGGCCGCAGCTGATTGTAAACAACCAAACACGGCTAATGTATGCGTTGCTTAGAGGAAACGCCCATAGAAGCGTGGACGCTGCTTAGATTTCTTAGAATCGATCGGAATTTATCCTATGAGCCGCACTTCCAACAAGTAAAGAAGGACTGTCGCAGTCGGTCCAACCTGATTAAGACCGCCCCCACCGATCCAACAATCGCGAAATCCGCTTCCGCGTAGCTCGAGCCATCATCGACAGTCGCCTACTGTACGGGGTAGAGATTACATGCCTTGCCGCCGAGAAAGCCCTCCAGATTCTGGAACCGGTGTACAACGGCTACGTTGGATCAGTCTCCGTTCTCCTGCCCTCTACCCCGGCCGACGCTGCATGCGTTGAAGCCGGTATCCTACCTTTTCGGCTCGTTTTCACCGCAGCTACTGCTACCAAAGCCGCTGCCTTTCTCGCTAAAACGTCGGGAAACAACAGGATCGTTGTCCTCGACGAGGCGAACCGACTCCTCCGCATGCCCGCCTATGTAGATCTCCCTCCAGTAGCCAGGGTCCACTGGCACGGAGACAAAAGTTGGCAATCGCATCAGAACAAAATTGACAGCCGAATCAAGGACCGCTTCAGGGCAGGAGACAACTCGCTGGCTTAACGCCGGACTCTTGGGGCGCACTACCAAGGTTATGAAGTTAGGTACACCGACGGCTCTCTCTCCAGGAGCGGAGTGGGAATGGGGGTCTCCGGAGATGGTCTGCTACCGGCCAACCGACCGATATTAGTCGGAACTGACTCACACAGCGTGATATTGGCCCTAACAACAGAAACACCGAAGCATCCGTGGATCCAAGGGACGGTAAAGCATGCGCCGCCCAACACAGTATTCATGTCACTGCTGGATCCAAGGGAACGTGCTCAGGCCTCACCGGACCCAGGTCCACCGGTAATGTACCGCTCCAAGATGTCAAAAAGTTGATCAAGCGGACGATTCGTAGAGCCTGGGACACCGAGTGGAGGAACAACAGGACACACCACCTTCGGAAGATCAAGGCGACCACCGGAACCTGGAAGGATCGACCAAACCTAAG